ATTCTTGGATTTCACCTTTAATAGATTTTAGGTGACGACCCGGCTTTAATACATTACCACGATATTTCTTTCAAGACTGAAGCAGTCATTTATAAGACAACAGTTTTTGGTGTTGTTTCATAAATGACTGCTTCATTGTATTACCATTTTGATATCCTTTAACAGCTGTCTTAATATTGTTGATTTTGCATGACTAAGTTCCTACACGGCCTAGCCGCGTATCAAGAAGATCTGTCTCTTTCAATCTTGAAAGGGTTTTGTCAGTTCCCTGCAATTCAAAAGAAGGATTTCCCTGACAGCCAATTATCCTCCTATTTCAGGGACCCTCTGTGATTCCCGTCACTTCGGTAGAATGTGCTTGGATTTTCAATACCTCGTCTGCTTGAAGCCTTCAGACATCTCTAAAAATCATGCAGTTTCGGAGACTAATCCGTCGACGGGAGATGTGAAGAAATCAACGGGGGGATAGAGGAGTGATTGATACGATTGCTTTCCAAACAATGGCAAAATTTGTCAACTTCACATGAAAGTTTAATATTCATGACTTTTCATTTCATAATAAGCGTATAATTCCACACTATGAAGTTAATCTTCTTAATAAAAGAAAAAAAGGAAAAAGTACCAAAGTTTCAATAAAGACGTTTTCTATGGCCTTAGTAATGGCATTGAAGAACGTGCTCCGTCCTGTATTGCATGACTGTAAAGTTTGACCGATCAATTTTTCCCGCGCCGCACTAAAATGAAAACGAAATTTGTTCCAGAGCCTTTATAGAACCTCGCTAGGCTTAAGGCACCAGGTGTCTTTCCTTTATTTCTACAACACGCTTCTAGGCCTACTGGTTTACATCCCAGTTTCAAGGTGCAATATCGAATTGACTGAAGAGAAACTTTTGAAGTTCTGGACCATACTGAAAAACTGAGGGCCTTATCTTCAGAAGTAGCAAAACATGGATTTAAACTACCGTGGTACTGCTGGAAAATTTCCATCGCCAGCAGGTTCTGGTATAAATAAAGCAGTGTCTTAGCTTCATGCGGTTCGAAATGACACACTCCTTCGGTAAATTTAGCCTTGTCATGGACATTTGTTCCCAGGGTATGTCATTAAGTCCTTATAGGGACGAAAATCTGCCAGGTGCGTTTGTTTAACTCATGCGCTTCAACCTTGGCGTATGCATAATGCGTACAGAAATACGTCATGCACCGTACGCGCATATGGCTTTTAACCTTTGGCGCGTACTATACACCAAACGTAAAGGGACACTTCAGCAACGCTAATTAAAAGGACTCAGAGCGTTTGGGTTAAATTCCGGTAAATCTTGTGCGAAAACCAGACTAGACAGTCATGAAGTTATAGCTTTTCAGCGTGTTTTCATGTTTCCTTCAGGAACTCCCACCACTTTCCTCCTTAGATGATTGGATTAATAGGGCTGGGCGACACATTTGTGCCTGAGGAACCGTTTTTCGGTGACTGGCTAAATGCAATTGGTCCTATCGTAAGGGGAGATCATAGCGTAAAGCACGCCATATGTTAGTCTTTGTGTCGCTCGAGTCATTGCACTGTAACCCCTACTCTGTACTTTTAGCGCAGGCCCATCTTGGGGATTCTGCCTTGCTCCATGTTCGTCTCCCCTTAAGTCAGCGAAATGTAATGGCGACCGTTGCGTGATGATGCACGTGGCTTTTGAATTCGCTGGATTAACTGCCATTTGCTTCCAGTTGGTTCCCTGCATGACGACCATTCACATGGTTTTGGTGTAACACACTGGTGCACGCGGTTCAGTGATAATCTCCAAAGGCACGTAGCCTCATTAAGTCCGAAGCTGAGGTAGATCTCAAATATGTCGGTTTGTTAGCTGATATCTCGCTGGCTTTTGTCAGGTGTATCGCTGCTAATAACACATTGCCATAAAACTCGATAAGTGCCAGGTATTTTAATCGAATGTCGATGTACGGTGCTGAGATACCAATTCAGTTTTTGTACATCTTATCAAGGAATGTATCCATTTCAAACGAAATCATTTAGAGGGCCTGATTAGTCATTGCTGTGAATTTATGGGATTTGATTTCACCAGAGTGCCATCAAGGACACTTTTCGATCAAGACGAATGACTTTTCCTGATTTTGCTGCCAGTGGAACTCTTGCAGCAATACATGCATATGATTTCCAATATCCGTGCATTGTTACATATCGTTCTGGAAATATCTTGGGCCAATGCATTGCAGGCAGGTCCTTTTATTACTGATGAGGATGAGAGATTATCTCGTTGTGTGTGGTCATTTTGTTGTAGCAAATGGGATTAAACAACTTCATTCAGGAATTTAAAGTCATTGGGTGATTGGAATTTGTATTTCTTGAGACAGACAAGCCAACCCATTCGACCTTTTGTTACAATACACAGCCGTTTTGTGTTAGCTATTCTACAAGATATGGAAGTTGTCAGATCATATAGCCTTCGGCTAGAACTGGAACGAAATACGTGTCAGAACATTCGAGGCCAGTTGCCTTTTCGCTCCAGAATACCGCAGATATTTTATTCAAGCAATGAATAGAAAGACAATACCAATGTAGCATCAGGTGCTGTATGACCGCATTGAAACGAGACTCAAGTATTCCCGTGCAATAAGAGTTTCAATTCTCAGGTTGACCCAGTTATTGGTAATCGGTTTCTTTTCATCGTTTGTTCGATCCTGACTATTTGTAGGCCTATGTTCATCGCGATAGAAAAACACAGTTCTTGAATAGTGGGTGTGCAAATCACCGACGCGTATGCGTACCTACCTCCACTCTCTTTACCTTAGGCACTCAAGATCTGTCTCGATTCGAAGAGCTCTCCATGCAATGAACGCTGCTTAACTTCTATTGTAATTTCACCATCGTTTTGCACGGCCATGTTCGACTGGTTATATTTAATTTCTGTTCACCAATGTTATTTCATGATCAAATCACAAAGTCAACACGTAATTTAAGTGGTGCTCCGGCTGGCCCAAAGTGCGGGACGCCCCGCAGGCAGAATCTAGAGAACCTGCATGTACGGCGCAGGAGAATCCACGCTCCCTTTATCAAAGGTCGATTCAAGCCAGTTCTCTCCCCTGACTTCTCCGGTATAAACCAGCCCTCGGCCCCTCCCGCCTTGCAGTCTATACTTATGAACTTGGAGGAACTGGGGCAAGAGGTGATGAATATGTGCAAGTATAGTAGCGTTAAACTCATGTAGAATACGCTGTTGAACCAGTTTACGCAAGGTCTACTCAATCTCTGCGCACGGAGGTCAGCCTTACCAGGCATGGTGTATTAGCAGCTGGCATTGCAGCCAACCTACTGATCCCTATCCCTCCAGAGTTATCGCCCTTACATGTCCAATTATCAATTTCGAGGAAAATCCGGATTTCCTCTTCCCTCGAGGACCTCAGCAACCTTTCTATCATTCGCTCATATCTCCTGAGTCAGTCGGCTTTTTAAGCCTCGACGATCTTCTTAACATTATGATTAATAGGATGAAGATTTGGCCCAGTCTGGTAAATTAAAAGAAGGCATCAATGATTAATGTGGCTGCATAGGGGATTTTCTGCACGTAATATTAGTCTGGACCAGTGTAGAACCTTAACCCAAATACCACGCTTGGATACACGATGAAGATGTTAACAAGACCTTAAAATTGCCACAGCTGAAATATTAACCAAATGGGGTAATAGACGCAGCTTATTGCATTTTGTTATGTTTACACCATTTTAACCGTAACTCATGGTGCATAAGATAATTTCTTGGAAAGCAAAACGCACGCAAAATGTTTTCATCATATCCCATCAGTAGTTGTCAAAAATTTATCTCATTTTGCTATTTATAAGACACAGCTTCCAAAACAGAATAATTGAATGAGAAACGCGATAGAAAAATACTGCATATTTTGCATTATAATGATATAATTTACATTTCAAGATTGCCGTGTCAATGCACAAAGTGGGGTTCCTTCCATGGAATAGACGGCTGCATTGTCAGCGTAACAAGACTTGTCATTTTAACGCATACAGGGAAGGCAAAGTGAAATCGTTGACATGTTAATAAAGGGACTGACATCGGAAATATATTTGTATGATCTGGCTCTAATCACAGTACGTGTAATGGGCCTTTGCATCTTATGATGTATTCAAATTGGTCACCATAGCAACTAAAACGAAGTGATGCGTCATTAAGATTTACGAAGAAAATCAAGGTTGGGCATTCGGATGGAAGGGAGTTCTCAAGGATATTGTGAAACGCCATACCATAGCTGTCCGTCTCGAGTAAACCTGACGATCATATACCGATATTAGTTGAAGTCCTTGTTTGTGCGGAAATCCAAGTTACAGAGACACAACGTGAAGCACATTTCACTTTAGCAGTGTTGGCCGATTAAAATTACCTTGATGTAAATCATCGGTTGAAATCGTGATTGTTAAAAAAACTTTTTAAACAAATTGTGGAAATGACAAAAATTATTTTTAGACTGATTTATCAATGTTTCCAAAGTTTTTTGTATTCATAATTGGTAAAAGCTTCTTGAAGCCCTACCTGTGAAGTGTTGATAAGAATTATGGATGCATACGTATAACAAGCAGTCTTATAGCTTGAGAGAGAGTTTTGCTCATTTCAAGCCTCTTGTTTTAGGTTCGACAAAGGAGTTGAATTATTTATAATCGCGATTTAATTTACTTCATTTTAATCGTCCACCATCAATTTAAAGTAATAAAGTGCCAGTGTACAGCGATGCAATCAAATACAGGACAGGGGTCAGTCAATTGTTACGCCACATCTTAAAAAAGAAAATGATGTCATTATAAGCACAAAAAGAACTCTTATAGCAGGTTGATTCTTTAATGATGACATTAACATATTTCAGTGACCTTTATACCTGAACACTTTAATTATCCAAGTAATCGTACTTGATTCACCCCTGTAATGCATAATGGTTGATCTCGACTGATATTTCGTTGAAATTCCATTGTTTCAAATCTTCCTTCAGAAATTGAAAATTTAGCAAGATCTCAAATCCACGGAGAATATTCATGAGAGCTTGTTGGATCTGCAAGCGCCCTTCGCAAGGTGGGTATTTTTTGCCTCAAGTCAAAATAATATGTAAATCCTAGACAAGCAGAGACACAGTACACGACGGGTTGCCGGTGAGTATAGTAGTAGTAAAGGAGACATGAAATAAAATTGTGTGTGATTTGAATACTTGTAGAAAAGCTTCCTGCAATGTTACTATGACTTCCTATCTCTTTGGTGGCAGTATTAGGGATGAACTTCAATGTTATTCTATGACTTCCTATCTCTTTGGTGGCAGTATTAGGGATGAACTTCAATGTTATTCAAGCTAATGAACATGCCCATATTCATAAGCTGAAGCGTGATGTCATCCAAAGCAGAATAGTAGTGGCTCTATAGCGCTGTGTATATGAGATAACATAATCTACATTTTCTTGGAGTAAGTTCCACTGTTCACTTATTTGTTTATTGTATTGATTAGCTTGTTTGGAAAACAGTAATGGGGAATATTTCTTCATAACGTCGTTTGGGGATAATTGTGAAGGAAAAAGTTTTGTACTTAACAAGCTCCTTGTGTACCCCGGTAACAAAAGAAAGATCATGATAGCGCGCCCTCTAAAATGTATTACTGATAAAACGATTTCTAAGAATGACAAAACTACCAACCTCTTGTCACTATTTAAAAGAAGAAAAATATTTAGATCTCGTTTGTATGTATAACAATGTATAAATAAGTTGATCTGAATGTCCAAGGCATTGTCTCTTTAAAGCCAGCCCATGAGCGAAACAAAAATCGTACACAGTGGCAAACTTGAAGTTGAAGTCGATTCTGAATAATCTGCACAGCGAAAATCGGGAGCCAATTTCATGCAGCTGTTGATGCTTAGCGCGGCAAATAGTTGCTTAGCAGAAAAGATTACCATCGAAGTACATGTAGGTCATCTGTTACTCGTTGTGACTGGCCCCACTGATTTCTGCTTATGGCAGTTGTCATTTTTTCCCTGCTGAGCAAGCTTCATAATGTTGGTTCCAAACTAGGAAGAAATTGCTAGCACATTTTTGAATTCGATTGTTTTTTTTTCTCAACATCTGAACAATAAGAAGAATTTTACAACGCTTTTCTTCCAGTGGCATGAAGACATCAAAGTTCGACATGCGTGTCTTGAGAAAATGTGATTTGTTTCCTTGCGTAGATGCAAAATATGATCTGCTTCATGAGAATCCAAGATTCTTCGAGCTCAATGCTTATTTCATTAATACTGTACTTGACGTTTGGTTGCATATATTTTTAGCATTGGACTATCTCCCATGGTTCTGGTGCGGCCATCCATGTCATAATGTTCATCGCCGCAGCGATTCATCGATTCGACTGTGTGCGCTGTCCAGCGCGCTCGATCTTAATAGCGAATTCCTCTACCGACTTACACGATTCTACGGAAATTTTCGCTCGATTTGGCGGGAGTATTTTCCACATTATGGCAAAAGGGTGAAAGTCTACAATCTCAGCGGTGACGTCTTCGCCACGCTGTTGAAATTAAATGCTGCCGATGCAGCTGCATTTTCCCGCCATTTCCTGAAGCTATCAACATAATTCTATTTAACTGTTATCAAAGATATAAGGCAAAAACTTTGCGCCAGGCTGAATTGATAATTTTCGGGGGAAAAAAGATTCCTAGTTCAAATTCCTCTCCCCCACCCCTTCCACTTGACTTAATTTCCTTCTGTGTGCTCAGGCATTTGAAAGATTTCTGTGGTTTTTGCCTTTGCGAGAGACCGCAAGTCTCCGGCTTTCTTAAAGCCATTACCGTCGTGTCCAGATTCATTCAGTGCTCTGACCTTGCTCTATAATTCGGCTTTTCCGAACAATCTAATCAGTTGAATTTCCAGTTACGGCAATAATATCGTTCATGCTCTTGGTCTCTGGACTGAACTGCAGTCTTTGCTAAAGTCGTTGGCGATGTCTCCCCGTCACCGTCTCATGGCTAATTGATATCTGATGTCAGTTGGTCCATGTTGTGGAGAGTTCCTTTTGAATATTGAACGACTTTTCCTCTGAACGGAGATTGTGTTACATTGAGTGAAGCTGTAGCGTCGAGGAATTTTAAACAGAAGTCGAAACGCCCGTTCAAATTTCACTTTATCGAGAGGCGACTTTCATTTCCAATTCTGCTTAGATGCAGTCTTTAGATCAAGACTTGAATCAGTTCACAGCTACCCAATGAGTCTGACTTTGAGTCTCAGTGAGTCTTACAAAAATTGGATAAATACGTAATAAAATATGCTTTACAATCGGTGATTTAAAATCTAAATGTTTGAATACCCCCTCGTTATGAGAAACAATAAGACATTAAAAGGTGACTGTGCTACACAACTTTCCTATCTCTAAACATGGGCGTCGCCAGGATTTTTTTCTGGAGTGGGGATGGCAAAGCACTCATAAACTGTAACATTTCAAGAACTTCAGGGCTGGAGGGAGTTAGTTTTGTTAAAAAAATTGGTGCTTTTTTATCCACTTTCATCTCTTGTTTTTATTTCTTTTCGTTTTCTCCCTCTTTCCCCTGTTTATTTTTCGACTTTTTTTCTCTTTTTTTGGGGGGGGCACCCCCTGCCCCTCCCCAAGACTCTTCCGCGTCTTTAAATCAATACGTTGAGTGTTAGTACGGGAATCGGTCTTAGTGGCGACCCGTTTTAAGCCAGGCTTTGCGCTATCCATTTCTGTGCGATTGAATCTCGTAACAATTAGGGCTGGTTAATTTAACTTCAGAAAGCTGTTGGCCTCATTTCGGGTTGAAGTTATAACCTAACAAAATCCGTTTGCACGTTTGTCTGAAGAATGAATTTGGGACGGAAAAACAAGACGACCCAATTACTCCAGTATCTCTTGAAAATGAAGTCGCATTGGTTGGATTACGCACAATACAGCTGCGGCCACGCGGTCGATAGTTTGCACCTTTAGGGCCGTCCTACCTCTACTAGATTTGTTTTTCTTCCCTGGATACAGTAAGCTTGCGTCCCCTATCCTTTGTTAACCCTCTTCCGCCCGTTTATCTCTGTCTCGTCATCTAGGTTTTCACTGACCTCGTGGATTTTTCCTTGCAATCCCGTAACCTCAAATTGCTTCAGTTTTCTTCAGCCTGATTTCCATTTAAAATTGAAGTCAACTTCGTTGGTATATGTAAAGCCATCCTGTAAGAGCCCCCAGAATAGGGCCTGCGTAAAAAACGTTCTGGATTTGCCACTTGTTATTCCGCATTACGTGCAGTTGTCCTTTGCGATCTGCAACTCTCCATACCCTGAGTGGTTTTTTTTTATCCCGACTAGACAAATACAAAGTGCTCACTTCTCATTTTGAAGCTCTCAGAACCTAGATTTTCCAACTCGCCAAAAACCTTGTCAATTGACTTTTTCTCTTTCCCGCTTGAGTGTTCCTATAAACACCGTCTTGAAATTTAAACTTGAAGTCTGCACTTGAACACGAATGAGCTGCATTGCTCAACCGCGAAGGCATTCAGTGCGTTGGATCTGATATCACATTGTTTATCAAAGAGGTGAGGTAAAGGCAATGATATTAAGACGGTTATTTTCTTGATCTTGTCACATTATTGTCCACTCATTGCTTTTAGAAGCTCCTAGCAGTTAAACATATTATTTTCCTCATCTTTGAGATTATTTTATGGTCGTTATTACGCATATTGCATATACGATGAGCACTTGCTTTTTCTTGAATTATTTTTATCAAACGTTGAATAATAACACGAACCTCCCAATGTATAGCGAAAGTAACCTCATCCTGCAACGCGCACAGTATGATGTAAACTTCATAGGCATGTTGAAGGCATTATTATCGCGATAATAAGTCTTAAGCAAAAACCGGCTGGATACGTGTCTCAGGCCGTATATAATGCAGGGTGTTTTAGTCGGTAACCTGTTTTTTTTTTGCTAGGCAAGCATTGTCGAGACTATTGCAAGACTGTATAAAAGGAAATCAGTTCAGTGTTACACCCCTCTAGGGTAGAAACTCTTAAAAGGTTGTGTAAAAAGGATTGAAGTGACCAATTAAGAGCTAGTGTGTTTCACACAGGAGACTTTAATAATAGTCGGGTTGTGCTTGATGTATGAATATCATACTCTCTCTTGAAAGAAAGGCTTGACAAAGCATTTCAGGTCGTTTTAGTGTTAGGTTTCCACTGCCAAGCATTGCTGAGAAATGGGCGCGGCGCACGACACTTGCAACATTCAGGTGTAAATTGGACCGCTTATGTTTCCCACTCAACAGCCTAATATCGATATGTCACAGTCACTCGAGCCATTGCAGGTCTACAGGGTTTGTTCAAGATGCAAGCCGTCGGTAATCAAAAGGAAAGACTCTACCCCCCTTTCTATCTATACTTTAAATCGATCTTTGGCTTTGGGTAACATTAACCAAACAAGGCCCAGTGGAATGTACGGGCAAGTTTCATGTTTGCAGTTTATTCTGAGACGGATAGATTTTTTTTTTCATTTCCGATTTTGTCTTGAGCCAGGTGCGTCCAAGAGATAATCAATAGGAAAGATGGCATAGCGTGCATCAGCTTAGAGTGTTACATATTCTTTTTGTGAGCGTCACGATACGTAACCTGTTTCTGCTCTTGACTTAAGCAATTCTGGTCGGATGGAGAATTCTTCACTGTGTTTATATTGAAGTAAATTTGATTTTGCCTGAATCGAACAGACTAGACGATTTTAAAGGTGCTGGGAAAAAATCGAAACGGACCAAATTTTTCCTAATTAAATAACCTCCGTTGTCTCCATTTTCATAGGCCTACTGACTGAATGTTAGAGTCGATAGAGAATCTACAAGTCTCCAGTGGGAATGAATACCAGGTTTAAGACCGACGACTTTGACGATAAATGATTCAATTTGATCCTCCGTCCAGCAGCCCATTGGGTACGGAACTTGAGACTTTTTTAATTGAGACTGCTTAAAGGTATAACCTAATTGTTTAGTTGAAATAATAACGTAATTGCGAATTGAAATAAAGTACTCTTGTGATTCCAATCTCTTCTTGTTTGTAATCACGGTTCGAAACATTAAACAAGACCTTTTTTAGACCTGACTATAGCCCTTTCGCCGTTTCGTAGATCAATTAATGATTACAGCGGGACAACACGACAATATGCACTCTGTTGTCGGTGATCACTGATTGCCGTACCCAGGCATACCCGTACCCGTGAGATCACATTAGTGACTGGGCCTGAGCGACACAGGTCGGGCACTGTACTGTCTCTGCCAACCCCTTTCAAACTATTGATAACTTGCTCCAGGCTTTTCCGAGTTAAAAAATCCCCCAGCATCCCAGCAATGCCCGGTCCTCAATCATTACCGTCAGCATGTGGTTTGTTTTTCTCCCCGGCGACCAACGCCAGTCAGCAATTTTCTTTGGATTAGTCTTTTGCGGTGCGGGTGTCTGATAAAAGATTTTTTTTTTCAATCTAAGCGAATGCAGGTTTGTCCCTCTTGTACCATTCCAGCTTTGTGATTGTCGTTGCAAAGCTAACCCGTTATATCAATGTCTTGATGTCATCTTTCCGTTCACAGTGTATAGGACAATGAAGTTTCTTAATGCAAGGTGCCTAGTGCGCAGGCGAACGTCAGTGACAGAGTACGCTTAAATTGAACACGAACGAAATTGTTTGTCAAAATTTTGTCATAAAAAACATCTATGCAAGAGGCTTCTGTCAATTTTGTGGATGGGAAAATAATAGAAAAGGGTAAAAATGTGACAAACAGATTTACATTCCGCGTAGCAGCCTAGCATTCCAGATGATTTCATACTAAGCTTTAACCATTTTATTTACATTACCTTACCCATTTCAGAAGTCAACTTACTGTCTGAGCAAAACACGTCCAAAACAAATAATGTTCAGGAGCAACAAATCATCTGTCGGCTTTACTATATACGTCCGACTAGCCAGTCACATTGGTACAAAAATTGAAGAATTTTTTGGGAGGGGATTTCAAAATTAGCAATTTGCAATTCGTATAATATTTTTCATTTAGGAGGTATACCAACGTCATACTTTCTCGGTCAAAGAGTGCTTTTTTCATCTCTGATCGTCAAGGCCATTCCAAACAGCTCCTCGGTGAAAATTGGAATTCTTGTCGAGGCGGGTTTTTTTCCCTCGAAAGTAATAAAAAAATAAGGATTCCAGCTTGTTCCCAAATCCTCTGAAATTGATTGTCTTCGGGGCGTAATTCTTTCGCATTTTTCCTCAGGATTATGTGGATTTCGGCAACATCTTACGACTAAATTATACATATCTCAGTCCAACCTGAAAGGCCATAGTACTGGATGCACGTGTGATGACAGAGCCCCAGCACTGAAATTTTACCGCGATTGGTGGATTTCTCGAGGTATGCGTGAATGAAACTTTCTACGTAGTATTAAACTGCCTTTCATCGTTGATCTTAATTACAAGATGCAGGTGGAAAACTTAGCAGCAAAACTGGGCTTATTGAAAGCAAAATTGATCGCGAACGAAGTCGGAAATGTTCATAATTGAGAGCTCGACATTATGAAGGCCCTGGCAAAATGATTTGCTCCAAGGTAAAGAGTTCACATTCATGCAAACTAAAAAAGACATTGATCATGTTTATAACATGAAACCTGCGTGTGGGCGTTTTGTAATTGGTCCAAAATACTAAAAGCTATGCCGTATGGCGTGTTTTCCGGTGAATCAATCTTGTTGGTCATATAGTTTGCCCTGGCACCCGGCGTGACTTTCAGACTAGCATTCAGTCAGAAAAACAGGGACGACAGAAACAACAATAAAAAAAATATAAATTTAAAAAAACCACGGCATATTGAAGAAAAGTCTCTTGTGATTTGAAATCGAGCTAATTCAAACAGGGGAATTCGTTGCTCCCATTTCCCTCAGAATAGAATTCGAAATAGTTGCATGGTATAATTTCACTCAGGAAGTTGTTCGTCTTTTTCATTTTGAATCGCTAAAGAGGTTGATGAGCTCACTGAATTATAAAGCGCGTTCTATTTCACGTCAGTAGTCGCGAAACTGCATGACTTTACCTTATACTTTATTTTAAAAAAGGTGGAGCAAAAGCGTAACAATGTTGGCTTCCTTTCAACATAAGTGAACCAAAAAAGAGTATTTTGTGGGTGCATAAGGAAGCGGCACTGTGCTGGTATAGGGACCTGTTCCGTTTTTCATAGTTGATAGTAGACTTCTGTGAAGTGATTAGCCATGAAATAAAGCGGACGCAACTGCAATTCCCAAACTTGCTCACAAACCAAGATCATATTTATAAGATGAACTTTTGCTTCGGGGGTAGTATTTTACTTTAGGTGTTTTGCCCTTCACCTTCGGACGACACTGAGTATTTGGTTATAAATAAACGTCTGTTAAGTGCAAAACAACAACAACAATAATAACAACCAAACGAGAACAAGAAACGACAACAATGAAGTAGGAACACAATTTAAATTGTCCATATGATTACGGAATGCAGTTCTGATAGGAAATATGCTACATTTGGGGTAACCGTCGAAGGGGAACTGTAAGCTTGCATAACACTGGCAACCTTCCAAATAAAACGTAAATACATGTTCTTCATTGTTTTAGGAAGTGATTCAAATGAGTGTTTGAATAACTCCCCAAACAGCAACGAACCGTCAAATCATCTTAATAAGAAAGCACTGCGTAGCAGATCTTTGAGAAAGACGAGAGCATTTGCATGGAGTTTGTCCAGGGTCAGTCTGGGTCGTCGGTGCTGGCTATCGAACTTCTAGCCTGGTACGTACGGAAAAACTTGAAACGAGTCAAGCGAAAATCGTGTGTGCGTTTCGAGTGTTTGAAAGAGGCAAGCCTCAGTCGGGATGTCTCCAGTTTCGACGTGGAAGGTTTTTTTTTAAGTTTCTATTGAGTCCCGTTTCCTAAGCTTGACTTGACAAGCAATGTCATTAAATTTCGAGAAGTTTCGTCAAATAACTCAATTGAAATGAGAGCGGTGCAAATTAAGATGCACGTTGAAATTGTTTTCACGGATTTCAGGAAAATAACCTTATAAGACTATGTTAAAAATAGGTCGAATCGAGCAACCTAAATTAAATAAGGTAAAAAAAAGTGGGAAGAATATCAATACAGAACGCTTTCGATAGCAGTCAGTCTTGCAATCTTGTAAAAAATGACGGAAAAGGGCTTCAAGAAATGTAATTTTTCAACCAAAACTGCAGCTAGGCCTATAAGCTGCTTAACTAATATTCTCTCGCCCACGAAATCACAGAAGAATTAAAAGTGGTTTAAAATCGAATTATTTCAAAATTCAGTTATGTCAAAATTGAATATTTCAATTCTTTCAAAATTCAAAAATATGGAATGAATGAAACTTGGGAATGGAAGTGTTTTTCTAATTGACAATTGCGTGTCCATAACTAACGTAACAATACAGTCATTTCCTAAAAAGAGGAAATGAAGAATAGACAATATTAAATTTGACGTCACATTCTCAACTCGACACAAAGTCCTCTTGAAATATACGTAGATCTCCGGTCCGACGTGGTGTAGCAATTCTGTTAATTTTAACTCGCAAATGGAACAATTGAACTTTCCAACAGCATAAAACGACATTGCTTACCGTTATTTATTGTATTCACGTCTGCTTTATTTCCCAGCTGAAAGCTTGCGTTACCTTCGTCGATCCGATCAAAGAGAAGAGACAAGTCCTACAAATCCTTAAACGATCAAATTATTCCAAGTTCATCTTACTGTCCAATCCTCGGCCGACAGTTTTTGCTTTAGCGGGAAGCTGGACCATGTAGCACGAGACTCACCGGGCCAAGTGAACGGACCGCCCATTGCTCTGGCGCTTTAGAACAAGGCTAGGGGCGGCTGACAAAACAGTCCATAATGCGCCACAGACATGTCTGTGATGTGAGAGGTGAATGAGGGCGCACTGCGTCGTCGATGCTCACAGCACAGCTGTTTTCCATTCTATCACCCACGTCGTGTTATATGTAGCAACTTACCCAGTTCATTCGTTCATGGAGGATGATTCGTTTCAATCTTTCATTTTAATCTCAAATATGAATATTAACTTACGGGGTCAGTTTTATTAAACTTGGCGATATTTACACTAGGTGCTTACTGAACTCGGTGTGTGATTTCAAAAAATCTATTATCAAGCAAAGAAAGCTAAGGAATTAATGAACAAGTACACTATCATTTCCATACACAAGTACTTCAAATACACCAACGAACGCGTTCGCTCGAACGTTTGAACGTCTGCACGTGTAGCTCGTGTCAAATTTGCAGAAATTGACAAGGAGTTGACCCATGATCGACTCTGGCGAGGAATTCATGCAGAGGCGCCTTGGTATCAACTTGGATTGAAAAGACTTGGGCTATAACGTGATGATATACTCCATCTTAGAAGTCTAAATTATGTCATTAATTTGTTCACCTGTTTCATTTTTGTTCATCTCTTCAGTTTGAGCTCAGTGCTCATTTTTAAAAATGACTTGTGTCCAGTTTGAATAACTTTAAACAGTGCCATAAAAAAACTTGAGTATAAGACTTTTCGTCAATATACTTTTTCATAGCAAGCTGTCATTTCTGTTGTTCCGCACTCGCGGCTAGTCGACGATGCATAATGACTTCAGTGGCAGTCCCGGTGAGTAAATAGTAGAATCGATGGATCTCTACTGGATTTCAGCTTATCCTGTTCAAATTGAAAAGGTATAAAATTTCATTTCTTTTCGTGATGACTTTAAATACGCTCGACATTTTTGGGAGAAATTTTGAAAAGTTCCAAAAATATCAAATCTATTACTGATGGAAATTGTCCACTTCAAATCGTTTAGAGATTTGGCTACATGCTAGGAACTTCACTTTTAGGAGTCGTATTACAAGACGAAATTTCTTTGAGCAATTGGTAAATACGGTTACAGAGGTAGGTCGTATTGCAGACAAAATACTCGACGCACGGTTGACGGACCAATAAAACGCACGCACTATTTTTACAAGACATGGAACTAGGCAAAAAGTAGTCAGTGAGCTGTGCACAATGACTTCATCAAATGTGCTTGCAGAGATCGCGGAAGTTGAAACATTGAAAATGTCAGGCCAAATGCTACAGGCTACTGTAATCCAAGCGTAATTTGACTTTTTCTTTCGCTCATCGAATAAAAGACATTGCTTAAAGGATGAAGTATCCTTTGCTTTTCCTGGCACGCGCCAGATGAAGTTCAGGAGATGTTGTTCATCGTGCTCATGGGATCCCTTACCAAGTCTCCAAAGACGACATCCCCACGTCAACTATCACCTCTTTACTTGATTTGGCACGATCTTAATTAAACCCAACATTCAGTGTCCAATTTATACTTGCTTGGGGCACACAAACGAAACAGGCAACGAGTTGACCAAACTCCACAGTATAATGATGAAGTCACGTCTCGGAGCTGGTTCAGTGATTCAAATTGTACATTTAAATTATTTCTGAGCTAAAATCTTGATAATGGAAGGCGTTCTTCCATTCTTAAATACTCGCTAAGCCTTGTCTTCAGTGACTGGAATTGGTTTAAGTGTCGTTTGTCTTGATGATGGAAATTGAATTGTAGAATATTCATCATCGTATCTACAATAATGTGCGTCATCGTTCAAGTAAAAAGAAAGTTGATCTTGTACCTTAAAATAAAATTTTAAATTTGCACATTTGAAAAAGACAGCGTAAAAAAATGCGTACTGTTTGAAGTACGGGATAAAAGCTAAACATGGACAATAAAGTCGTACTCAAATTACCCATTACCAGATTGCCTGGTTTGTTTGTACTATTATTTTTTCATCGAAGTAATTGATGATCTTATGTGTAATTATCTTCCCATTGTGTAAGATCCAAGTTGATCGCTCCACAAATCATTGAGACCGAAATATAATATTTGCTTGGTGTCCATGATTAGCATCTCTTCCGCCTCGAGCCTCTGTGAGACGAAACGCCAACGATAAAACAAGCTGTTGTGCGTGTTTAAGACTTGTCATTCAGTAAGTGTTATTCATGCTCCAGTTCACACTCATTAAAAAAACAACGGGAGAGGAAAAAGATGTCTTGCCAGCGACACAGAGGAGTTACCGCATTGTCAACTGACAGTAGCTTTGCCTCTCGAAGGGAGCAGAAAGTCGGAATAAATTATTTGAAATTGGATTGCCACGTTAAGCATGTTTACCTCATCTTCACCTATTTGACTCAAACATTTCAAAGAATTTGAGTATAACTTTGATTTAAAATAAAAGAATTGATTATATATGTTGGAGTTACATCCAAAGCTAGTATCACATGAATTGTTTGAAAACTGTTGTGGGTAAAGTTAATCTTATTAAAGCAGGGAACTGAGCTTTTAATAAAGTGGATGACTTCGAGGCTTAACCTTTATTCTCTGCATTCACTGCATTTGGCAGAATTCAGCTGACTTGTACTTTAAAAACTGCCGCGTCTTTATTAAACTGCTTTAGGGGAGTCCGTGCAGAGGATATAAACTGTTGACTACGAGGAGAAATCCGAAGACCTCCTGAAGAGCTGCGCTTCATCTTACATGATGAGAGGATTCTTGACAGGTCGTGTGGCCAGTTGGTCTGGGAGGGACTGAAAAACACTTCGGTCATTGGAACAAAAGGGTTATCAGTTGACCGTTGTTTATTAATGTTTTCTGATTAGTTTCAAGAGGAATGGAGACCTCTCTAGCCACAGGAGCATAAAATGTTAATTTAATGCGTTGTTAGTTCTGTGCGGAGTTGTTCCCCAATTACGTCCCGTTTTCTTCAACCTATCCTTGTTCAAAGCCCTCCTGGGCATCTTTGTTTCCGTTAAGTCTTGAATAATGTAACTTGAATTTTTCTAACAATTTTAATCTATATCTGAAACAAGCAATGAGATTTCGACCAGTGGTGTGGAGGAATGTGGAGATAAATGTGGCTTTATTTCAATTAACTTGAATTTAAAAACTCTGAATCTAAACACTTCTGCATAGTTATTTAGACATCACAGGCAGAGCACGGTAAATTGAAAATAAATTGCATAAAAAAGTCATATAAATATGCTGATTTCGAAAGATAAGCCGATATCCAATAAATCTTCATTAAGACAGAGAAAAGGAGAAACTGGAAATATTGTCAAGGACAGTTTGGAGGAGAAAAAAAATGAAAGCACCAGCGAAGACAAGGGAAGACAGTTTAATCTAATATCCACGTGTCAGTTGGCTCACCATTAATTTCATACTTTTGTTTCCATTTTATTTAATTGCAAGCATAATGGAAGGGGGAGATGTATAAGAACACGTGACAAGTTTCCATCCCTTCTATTCTAGTTGGCGGTTTGTCCCGACAAGCTTTTGAACGGTGGACAGCTTTGCACAATCCATTTCTGCCTTTGGCTGAGATTTACAGGCTACTCGCTGTTTGTTCCTGGCTGTATCAATTCGGCGCCCGGGGCGAAATACAGCGCTGTATTCCGCTTTTTGTCCAAACCCCGTATAAGTCTGCCTGCGTGACTAATGATCTTGGCGCAAATTGTCGCCTTGCTGTATCCTCGCTTGATTTCTGTGGGGAAATGACGGCACGATCTTTAAGGTCAAAGTTATTTTAGCCAGGCTTTCTGGAATTAACCAGAGTGAAAGTGAATTTTACCTTGATCTCCTTTAAAAAAAATAAATAAATAAACATCGACAGTTTGATATCGAGGCTTTGACAGAGATACTCAAGCTTGTCCAATAATACAACCTGCATATTTCCCAGGTTCGGCATTCATTGCATCTGTGCGGTGGACTGTACATGTACATATACTTTCTACGTTCAGCGTTTTGATCCCATTACAAGCAACTGGCGACCTTTCCGCGAGGTCCTTTTCACCGACATCAAAGGTCCAGGTTAACATGCATGTGACCCGAATCTCAATCAGTTGTTAGCAATTACACAAACAGACAAAATGACCACATCAAGCGGCCGTGTACCTGACTCAGTGACACGGACTGCATATCTGTGAACTTCAACAGTAACAATCTTGCAAAAGGCCATAAATTGGAATATTTGAACACAAAATAGCATTTTCTGAGGGATGAGGCTACATTTTAGAGCCTTTTACACACTTTTACATCACCTTTTCAAAAGAATATTTGGACCCCTTTTTTCAGCTTTTGTTACATTGTATTCATAAATTTCTGAAAGCGATTTTCTCATTTGAATGTTAAGGAGTTCCTGTCGAATATGCTGCCGTCTTTGACTGTCTATCATCAGCAAGAGCGCCCTCTGCACACCGTATGAGGTACTCGAATATTATTCCACCATCGTTCACCTGTCTGCATAGACCTTTTTCCCCCACCCCCGACTGATCCTTTGATTTATTTCCAATTTTCATCCTCCGGATCGTTTATCCTTCCATAATTTTTTTTAATTTCAGCATCCTCAATCTATTAGCGGGGTACTCTTTTTGTAATACCCCTCATCGACTGAGATGTGACGTCAAGATAAGCATGCAGTATATCACTGACTCAATGAATTTCAGAAGACATCAAAATTCCAGTTTAATATCAACGTTCAAACTTCAACTGGGTAACAAGATTTAGGACAGAAACTTTAGACGAGTTCACTAACTCAGGCCAAGACTTCATATTCGACTAGAGAGAAAGACAGTTATCTATGTAAAAACCACTTTCCTGAATTAAAAGGAAACGGCCCGGAATACGAGATTTAGGGGCCTGTTTTATCAGGTAAGACCAAATTTGACGTAAACTTGCACAGCTCTTCGAAAGATGGTTGCTTCTTAAAACTTCTTTACAAACCAATCCTCATGAGGTTTCTCTTGGATTCCAGAATAAGTTTCTCTCAGTGTTGTAGTCGAGACCATCACAAGACCAGTCGCAAGTAACAGTGTGAATAATAACAAAGGAATGCTTTTGTTGAAGTTCATTTGAATAGCTTTTGGCTTGAATTCAGACTGGAAGTCTTGGGCTGGTCTTGTGTGGTCTTGTGAAGGGCTTAAGTGGTCTTGACTACAACACTGGTTTCTCTTTGCAAGAAGGATTCCAGTTTTTTATGATTGCCCCAAACGCCAAATCTTAAACTCATAATTCAAATACAGTAAGACTCCTGAATCTGTTACTATTTGAAGTCCATAACTACACCAAACATATCTTATTGCCAACCATAATCGATCGCATTGCTAGCACGATTCCTAATGCTTACAATCCGCTCTGCATAAAAAATATAAAATATCTGTTTACAATATGTACATTTCTGCACTTCATGCTTTACATATATACATATCAAACTAGCCTATCAGATAGACCCCTTTACTTGTAAACATACATGTCATTTCATCTCTCGTCAATATCTGAAATTAAATCTAATATCAGTTCAAATTTACTGCGTAACTAAAAGCAAAGCTAACATAGCAAAGGCAGTCTCTGTGCATTAAGTTTAACTTTCTTAATTTTGTTGAAATCTGTTCTACATGAGCATCAACTGAAAAGACTGTGATTGAAAAAGGAAAGACGGTTTACAACGGAAGTGAAAGCGCTGATATTTTCTCAAAGTTCAGGCAGAAATACCTCCTTCTCAAAAGAATTCATCCATTTATCTCATTGACAGACAGCTTTATAACAACTCTACCATTCTGAAAGGACAGTCTCCAATATGGGCGATTCACAAATAAAGTGCCTCCAAAAGTCTGCAACGCATTGGCCAATCACAACGCGCAAAATCTGTCAACCCTTTCTAAATGCGCATTGGGTCGACAGATTTCGCTCAGCGTGATTGGTCAGTGCGTTGCAAACTCTTGGGGGCGCACTATTTTGAAACGCCTGTATTACTTCAAGAAACAAGTTCAATGTTCCATGCTCTTGAACTGCATGCAAAGACTAGGACAGGTGAAAATGTGGATTACAGATTATACTGTGTGATACAGTGCATGCATTTATGTACATCGTATTTCCTGTGTCAACCAACTCTGCTGTATCTGAGGAGTACTCACACGGTATTCTTACTGACATGCAATATTACCTCCAGCTCAGATCAGCCCTACAGCTTGGGTCGTACCACGCCAAAATATTCTTAAGATCAAAATGAACTGGGTGCATGAAGTTTGGGGCAGTTATAAGAGATTGCACACGCACAAGACATCGAGGGAATGACTACTATAAATTCATTGTTGGCAACTGGGGAGGATGGCCTTAGAACATGTCACAATTCACTTGGACAATTGAAGGAAAGGTGTTCTGCATCACTGTTTACATGAACACTGATAGAAGACAGTGTAGAAAGTTCACTTCTTGTGATAAACAGCAGCCTAGTGTTGACTCTAGACATGACCAAGGACCACCGGTCCAATCCAGCATAAGACAAGTAGGAGATTTTCAGAATAGAACTTGGGTTTCAGAATGAGCATCAAGCCAATTGTGTCATGGCCTCATTTACCTTACCAGAAAGCATCACTGTGTTGACATTTCAGAACCCACAATGCATTTTGATATGCAGCAAGACAACACAAGCTGATGCTCGGTGGAAAGACTTATGTGATTGGCCGGGTATATCACTCTGTCCAATGGCAAGTGCATCATACGAGCAGCAGGCACATCAAAGGTTCAGCGGTGACCTCAGACTTGCCCAATCTCTTAGTCTTTGTTGTTACGTGGCTCCCTTCACTGTCAATGTTTTTGTTGTAGCTGGATAACTTGAGCGACACTGCCATGTCAAAGGTCAAGCAGTACCTATGGGCTTCAGTCCCTCAATGTTTGGCATAGGTCCTACCCTCCAGTTGCATTGCCCCATCAGGTGAGGGCGACATTGCAACACTGCACAATGGGTTATGAACCATTCTCTGTTTGAGCATGGTCCAATCAAAGACACAGTCATATTGGTGGTTCAGTTTACGGAACAGGACACGAAACAGCTGGCGTAAGTACATGTAGTTAGGTGCCTCATCAAAGCCGAGATCTCTGCAGTAGCGAAGGTAGTGAGCGAACTCCTCGGGAAAACCCTGGCAGAGAAAAAAGTTATGGGAACCTGTGATTAGTGACTTCAAGTACAGTAGAAAAGACTTACTGCTTGAAATAAGGGTAACATGACACTGCTGGTCAACGATTTGGAATCCTGTCATTGAGACAGGCTGACAGCATACTCTCAATTTCACCTTGTCTTTGGCTAATGTGTGAAGCAGATCAAAAATGCTGCCAGGAAAGCAACTATTGGAATAACAGCTAACCTGAACTAGAGAAAAGCTCAGAGGGGATTGAATTGAGGGGAGAAGTTTGCTTTGGAGAGAGGGAGGTACTTGGAGAGTGACAAAGTTAAGGAACACGGATAGGAGATGGCTTTGTGCTTATGGAGGATGGGGTATTCCAGAGATGGAAGGAGGCTCCTACCTGACACAGAACCTCTGGTGGTGTCGCTAGTTTCTTCTCACTGATCTTCTCATACTTCTGTTTCTTGTTGACAGCGTGAAGACCCTGCCAAGGAAGCTGAGCTCGATTCAAATACATCAAGACGTAGCCTAGAGATTCCAAGTCATCTCGACGACTTGAGAACAGAGGGAAGAAAACAAGTTTATATCATAAATAACAACACAAATATGCTGTCAACACGCCAAGGTAATGTAACACAGCTGTCACAGATTCTTGATTCTGATTGGCTAAAACATCGTTTTGAGATTCAATAACTGAGACAGGTGCATAACTTGCACATTATTTTTGGAGTTCACTATGGATTGTACCAGTTATTTGACCATTTTCAATTGCTTGGAGAGTTGTCAATTTTAATCACTCATAGAAGGATGGTTCCTGGTCGAAGAAATTGCAATGTGTCATGAAACACGCCAACCAGCCTAAGTGGAAGATTCGTGCTGTTGTATCGTGTATTCATTAGGTCTGTGCCAAGCTTAGATGCTACAAGAAGGCCTCTCTACCCATCAGTTCTGAATGCCTGGGGAATAATGAGCATTTCTTGATTACCTCTGCTCGATTCCTAGATGGGCATTGATGCTGGCATATCTTGCTGTCCCTGTCAGATTCTTTTTTTCTCTGTAAGGTATGTGCTGCCTCGTTTTACTGTCACGGTACTTCTTGGCAAGACCATAATCAATTAAAAACACCTGTCGACCCAAAGAATGAACAAGACAGTGCAAGCAGATTATCAAGTCAGAAAAACGACTTAAATATTGCCCTTAATTGCTGATACATACAGCTACTACTGAATACTTGGCAACTCTGTGACACTAACATTCCATGAGTGGTCAACGACAAAGGCAAGGTTCACAATTAATTACCTGATTGCAACGTTTCCCAACGCCCATTAAGAAATTATCCGGCTTGATGTCACGGTGGATGAAGTTTCTGTTGTGAACGTACTCAATTCGACTGATTGTCTACGAAAGCAAACAAGGAAAAGAAACCGAAATACGTATGAGTGGAGTAAAATAAATGTAGACAATCCTAAAATGACATTTTGATCAAAATAATGCCAAGTTGAGATCCCTCTCATTTAACTTCTTACCCAGAATTTGTGACTCAAAAGGTATTTATGAACGGGAAAAATATATGCTTGGTCAAACCACTCTTGAAGGCAAGGGACATTATCAGCGTCCATTCTTCTGGGTCAGTCTTAAATGAATGTTTAAGACCGGCCAAGCATATACTTATTCCCTTATTCGTAAATACCTCAGACAGTCTCCCTATTCAACAATAATGCCTGCTGCATAATCATGCACTGGCACCCGGATATGACAGAGTTTAATGGATTCTAATTGATCAAGAGTCTGTGTGCATGCGGCTCACCATGCGTGCACCAAGTCCATAAAACAAGATTCTTTTGATCAACTATAAAATAAAATAGACTTCTAGAAAAAAATCATTGGAAATCCATCATATATTGACTTTGACTTTCTGACTAAAAATTGTATTTATGAATGGGAATGACTATGCTTGGCTGATCTTAAACTAACATCTAAGACCGGCTCAAGAGTGTGAATGCTGCTGATGTCTTTGCCTGCAGCTCGGGCATTAGTCACGTCCATTAGCAGCCTTCTGATTCTACACCTTTACTACTAACCTGATCTGCAAGCATCAGGACCGTCTTCATGGTGAATCTCCGACTACAGAACATGAATAGATCCTCAATGCTTGGTCCAAGCAGCTCCATGACCAGAACATTGTAAGCCTTCTCCTGACCAAACCATCTGAATCCATTGACAAAAAAAACAGACACATTTATGAATCAGATTGATCAGCGTAGACTGAAATAGACCTCTGTACGGAGTCATGACACCACACTGGACAATTGCCCTCCTTTGACTTCATAGGAACGTGTATAGGTAAACAATGTGTGACGTTATCAGTAGACAGGCTTAATCACCACAGTGTTACTCACCCTGCCACCCCTCCATTCAGAAGAATAATTAGGAGGATGGTGATAATTCAACAGACTCTACACCCCCCTTCCCCCAACCACCTCAAAATCAGGAAGGGAAACAAGATCTTGGAATAGTTTGCCTCCTTCAAGAAATGAGGTCTCACCAATTACGCTTCAGTTATGTGCACAGTATTACCCATCCAACCCCCCTCCCCAACACCCCACCCTTAGCAGACCTCATTCTAGGGATTCCTGCACCTCCTTGGAGTATCTTGTAGAGTTTGCTCTCATAAAGCAGCTGGGGATGTCTGGCATTCTTGGGTTCTAGCTTGACAGCCACTTCCTGTGTATCAAAGAAACTCCGACTTTGTAACATCCACTTCTCATATCTATCATCCCCAGTAATGCCATTAACAATTACCACTTAAGGCGTATTCTATGACTGTGAAATCCATTTTGTGCTAGTAAATTAAATTGCTGAATTTGTATGATTCATAAAAAGAGGTTTGATGGTGTCGGAAACATGTTCACAAGATGCACTGTGCACACTTGCAACTAACAGCCATATTGGATTCTAAATGTCAAATACTGGTTTGATATAGTGGACCACAGTAGTTAGCATTATGTTGAAAATTTGAATGAAGGCCTCCAACCAACAATGCTCTAAATTTCAGCCTTGACTTATGTGGGTCAAAGGTGTAAGGTGCCACCAGTCAGTCCTCATTTCAACGTTTGATTTGAAACAAATCCTGACTACAGGGTAACTTTTCCATAAATGTCAATGGTAAAATATACTTGAACAACAGAAAAAACACCAATCTCAGGCTTAAAAGTCCTGAATAAACCCTGACATTGCACTAGGATAGTGGAAAGAATGTGGGGAGGAGAAGGTCAGCAGGCTTTGTACATAGGCCTATCAGGAGGTAGGAAAAGCAGTTGACCATTAGTTTGTCAGCAGGTCTGAATTATTTTTAGCAACCGCAGAAACACAGTAAGACAGACATGGATATACTGGGGGGTAGGGGTATCTTAGGGGTTGGGCAGAGTATGGTAGACATGGTGGCTGCATGGATGTGGATGCTAACTTAATGTAGATCATGGGGAAGGGGAACTTTATCAGTCATCAGTCGGCGGGTGGGTGGGGCATTCCAACCTAACCAGTTTGGTCGGGGAAACAATAATAAAGGCCTAGTAGTAGGCCGCCTACCCTATATTTGATCCTAGGACCAGTTACCACATGGGAATATGTATACGACTTAATTGGTATTACTACCAATCGTCATCCGGCGAGAAAAAGGATCGCTAGAATTACCTCCCCCGTTGTCAGATCGACACCAAGATAGATATCGCCGAAGGATCCACTGCCTATCTTCTTCACCAAACTGTACGTTCCAGACGCAACTGTGTATTCATATTTCTGGCCTCTGCTGCTAGACATGGTTCGTGAAAGACGGAATACAGTTTCTCCCACATCCAACAAACATCATCAAGCCGAGCAGTGCTATTTCAAAGCCCAACTGTCGATCATTTGCGCCGATTTTCTGCGAAATTATCCGACATGACTGTACAGTCGTTTTCCATTTCTGTAGTTGCTGGTACTCGGCTGTGGGGAGCTTTCAGTACAATAACGTACCGTAAACCAACGATGCAATTTGACATGAATGACTGATCACCGCACTGTGCGGTGTTTCATCGCTCAACAACACGTCATAAAAAATAAAATGTACTGGCACACGACCTAGACATCTATAGCCATAACCATAACAATCCGTCGGAAAAACGGCTGCTATTGTATTGATCAAGTGTGCTCAAGCAAAACAAGGTAACAGTTGCGGACGCACCCACTATTCATGCTAGCAGAACATGCATGTTCTTCATTGTTTGTTGAAAAAACAACAGTTGGTCGAAATACGGCAATTTGCTGAATCAGTATTATCAATCAATGTCCACACTGCCACCACAAGTCGACTTCAAGTTAATTACGCTGACTAATTTAATGTTCAGCTTAAAATTCATTTAATATTCAATTAAAATTCTTCCATTTTAAGGCCAATGTACAAGTACACGTGTACAAAATTATAGTCACATTTTTACAGCATCTAATAATATAACACCCAAAGTAAACTGTCACAGATAAGTAAAACCTACTGCTTTACAATACACTACTCAAAAAGTTAAGGACCACTTTTTTTCTTAAGTTGCATTTTTTTCCAAGCGATGAGTGGGTCTAGTTCTTTCTTTTTTGTTTGTCTAGATGGTGTTCTCATTGGAATAAGAAGTAAAAAAAAAGTTTCAAAACATCAAATACACATTTGCAGCAGTAAAATATCTCATATATAAAAATACACACAAAATAAAAAATGGTCCTTAACTTTTTTGAGTAGTGTATTTCATTACTGCCAATGTTATCGTTTGTATAGGATAAAAATCAATGATTTCATATGAATTTTCTTTGAGTTGTCTCGGATTTCCACTGCATAATTTATAGTGGCCCATTCACCGATGATATTTGGCACGAGACGTCAGTCTCACGTAATTTGATAACCGGTAAAACTGCACAAAAAGAAGACCAATGGTGCGATTCCACGAGAATTTCACTGAAAAACACCTTGGCACAAATGACAGCGACGAATTAACTAGGATTCTATCCTGCGTGAAGCTGCCAAGGTCGTTACTTTCATCGACAATCACCACAAGGTGGCGCTGTTCAGAAGCGCTGGGAAAAGTATCAACAGACGTCGGCAGCGTGCAGCTGTAAGCTTGTGAGCGACAAAAGTTTAACGAAGACTTTTAAAAAGTTAGGCAGATCCCAAGTAACAAATAGCGACGCAGAGGCCGGTTGATTACTTTGGTTGGGTGTTTACAATTTCAATTGGCTATTTGCATAAGTTATGTAACATGCCACGTAACACAAAGTTACTCAAATTCCAGTATAGTCCACCATTTAACCAGCGTGAGTACAGTACATCGCTTACAAAATTAATGAGTGGGCCATGCACAAAGTACGTACGTGCGGGTATTACTGGTTTACGCCCTAATAACATGAAAAAAAAGGGATTTTTAATAAGTTCATTCTGCTTCATTTTAGATAAAAGATTTGAAAATGAGTTAATTCATGTTCAGATGAAACATCTGATTAATCGAAACACATTTCTGAAGTTAAGAAATTAGTTCCCGAAACTGTGTTGGAATCTTAGAAAGGGGCACATATTTATAAATAACATCCCACAATGTATAACTAAAGAATTTGACTTTTTTCCCCGTTTCAATAATCTCGTTCCTCTGGCTCTCTGTACTCCAGACCAAGATGTCTGAATATGTCCTCCTCACACGTGACCGGAAGGGGCGTACCGTCGTGAACTTTGACCTGTCCATGTCGGATGACACCTGTCCGAAGTGCATGCTCAGACAAAGACATTCCCTGGTTGTGAAGAAACAAATATGGACAGGAAAAGGTTAGTGAGGACAGGGAAACAGATTAATAGAAACACGAATCTGTTTAATATTACCAATTACCAAGAAGAGTGACCAATATTGGTACAATACCTTTCTTGGCCAAGTTTCTTACTAAACACAGAAAAGATGCTGTGTTTAGCTGTTTCATGGCTATACGACTCCAAGTGGCTACGGAGTCTTTGAAGCTGACCATCTCATTTTGATTCTTACAAACTTTCACGAAAGAAAAAACCCAATCTTGTATTGAAAGGTCTGGGTTCCTGTAGATTCGTATATACAGTACATCTACATCAGTTCCGTAGTAATGAGGCAAGGCCATAGGTTTACAGCAGGCTGTATCAACAGCATTCTTGAATCAGAAAGTAGGATTTTTCTCTCGGAGATTGAGTTTTCCTAACCTTTTTCTTGGCCAGTAGTCGGATGGATCGATTGAAATGACCGGAACCGGTGAAGTGCATAAGAGCACAGTAGTACTGACTATAAGGAGCAACAATGATATCCAACCGCCGGTACTGTACGATAAAACAAGGGAAATCCTCTCCAAATTGCTGAAAGTGATACATGGATATTACAATTCTGGATCAAATCGCTAACAAAATGGGCATCAAAATGCTCAGGAACTGGAGTGCAAAGAGATAGAACAAAACCACAACCACAGGACTCTTGATAGCAGAAAGTGAAACAGGTTCTCATCCTTTAATTCGATTCTTCACTTCATGACTTTTAAGGTTTCCCTCAGGAAAAGTCTTTCAGATGCAAGATTCCAGACCTTTTTATTATCTCCTGGGAGTTTGCAGACGCCCATGTATTTCTTCTGCTCATCGTCTTCCTCTCCTTGCCTCACCAGGTCATCAGTTATAAAACCTACAAACAAATAGCAAAAGTGTGCGGCAGCTATGCACATTTACAAACATGGATAAAACGAGATCAAACCATAGCTCTGTAAAACTGAAAATTGAGATTTAGTGGGGAAATTGGCGTTTTCAACGATGATTTAAAAAGAAAGATTTTGATTTCGTTACGTGGAAAGTAATAAGTTTACATTTTTAACGAAAAAAAAATTACACCCCTGTTCTCCAGTGTAACTGTAACCACGCCCTCAAACGAATATCGTGACATCATCCAGATGAGAACAATTATTTCATATAACACCTGTTGTTGAACATTCTTCAGAACAATAGATCTGGCACATTTTATTGTTATTGTTGGCGGACGTACGTAACTGGCTTCCGTTAGTGTGAACGGACGTGAAGGTGGCAGTGTTTGCGTGCAAGTGGTGTGAATTCAGGTTGGTTGCCAATAATTTGGGGGGCATTGAAAGAGTTTTTGTTGGAAAAGAACTCATGATTTAATATCCATATCGAATTTCGGAGGATAGATTATGCTGCAATAAACTGAACAAACAAGCAATTTCTTACTTCAAGCAGCGTGATAAGTCTTACTTTGGGCTACTTTTTATTTTGATAAATCACTTTAAATAATCTGTTACTTTTTATTAGAGAACACGGCTGAAACTATGCATGTGTGTCTTCCCCATGCAGTCTTTCACACAAAATTACATGGGTCTAGGCGACCGTCTGAAGTTTTATTTAGTGAGACTCACTTTGGCTCCGATCCAAAACTTTGTTTTACACCTTTATGCAAACCCACGTCATCATTATTAATATTAACCTTGGGCCATGAACGGATGATCAACAAAATCGTGAGTTCTCTCGATAAACATGGTGATTTCGCGCGTATCGCCGCATCCGCTTTCCGCCGGGACTTACAAAATACGAAGTTAAAATCGTGATTCTGCATTCCATTCAAGGCTTGTTGGATTGACAATAGCCTGACGTGTGACGCGAAGAGTGGCAATAGTCCGCGGAACGGATGTTCTTATCACAGAATCTGTACCCAAAAGCTTGCGTTGTTCAAACGGAAGTGTGAAGGACGTATCACTGTTTTCCCCAGCGTATGCAAGTAAACATTTTGTGAAGAGTACACATCAGTATTTCCTTGATTGTAAAGTTCCTGAGACATATTTTATTGTTCAGAGGAACGTCAAGCGAGATCAATTCGAATGCCGAGTTCGATGAGAAGGAATTAAAATTATTTTTGATGTAATATATGTGACTATGATCTCGTTTTAATTGAAAGATGATACGATTTATCTGTTATTTTTGTCTCTTAATGAAGCCACTTAAAATAAGATATAACGCCAATTTCAAAGTTCGCAGTAAAAGTACTAAAACATTAAAATAAAAAAGAATAATATCAATTTAGTCTCAAAAGCACAAAAACTGAAATTGTTAGTTCAAGAGTTACTTTCAAACACGATCTCCAAGGTTATAATGACGTAGCTTTACGAGTTGAATCGGATGATATAGGCCTACCCATTATTAACACCACATCAATTTAGCAGTTGAGAACCTTCTCGTATCTAATGATATCGTTGATGCTGCAAGCACTTGCACACATCGATGCACATATCAATTACAAGCAGTGAATGACTCCTTGGGGAAATTATGATCGTCGTTTTCATGTTTCTATGGTTTCAATATATTGTGAATTATTTCTCAAGCGCACTAAAGTGTGTCTGCAGGTGATAGAAACATCGAGACAGAAAGTGTTGACGCACGGTAAATGACATCGCAAAAAACGTGCCCCAAAATATTACCGATAGGTATAAACATGGACATTAATTTGTATTGTTTGCAAAGACCGGCGCTTATTTTCTACACACAGCTTAATATGTACAAATCAAAAGCAACTATGGGTAGACAACCTGTTATACATACAGTGAGCTCGTATGTTGTTGGAAAAGGCGTAACTTGCAGAAAAGGCGTGTTGCTTCTCATCATCAATTTCGTTTTGTGTGCATAGACAAAATAAATAAACCGGCTAATAACTTTTGTATTCTGTGCAAGCTGTTTAGTCTTTTTAATTTTATATTTATTCTTGAAGGAAAAAAACCATAATTTTATACAATACACACATTGACATAAATCTGTACATGCATGGTGTAACAGATGCTACGGTATTAACTTCAATGAGTGGACTTATTGTTTTGTTTTAATGTGATATCAACTAATATTTCAGTTGGTACACAACATTTACATTTCACTGTTTCATTTAATTGGAACGATGTAAGATTTGAAAGTGGAAGCATCTATGGAAGTCTATTCAATTCGGATGCAGCCATGTTGACGAAATTGTACAAAACCCAATCAACATAGCAATCACCTCAAAATGGAGGTGGGAAAACCATAACAAATATAACTCTTCCCAGTGAAATTGTCAGCAATTTAAGCAGTAAAAACACAGGCTTGCTGCTCTATGAGCGCTTTGGAAGATTCGATCCGTTGCTGATTACAAAACCATACAGAAATCAACAAGACAGTTTCAGGTAATTAAAGGAAAACACCGACTGTGTTTTTACCCTTGTTAAGGTGATTAGTTTCTTAAGGGAAACCGTGAGACATGGGCAAGTTCCTCGAGGCTATTGTGTCTCATGAAGACACGAAGGACGCCTGGCCTTACTGGCAGCCTTTCACAAGATTTTTGTCATTATTGTCGAGACACGTATGTGTGTAGGGCTGTGTCAACAAATGCAAAACCTATGGTTCTTAATGTCACGTACAGTGGCAATCATGGACTTCCACACGAACGGAGACTTAAATTTCTTTGCTAGAAGCGCGGACTAACAAAAGACAAAATATTTCTTCCACAAAACAAAAAATGCGGGTTCTTTTGCGTCAATGGGTAGATGTAGTGGTTGACAGGACATGTACCTTGCGTGTGAGGGTAGTTTGATATACAGTCGTTCCTTGTGTTGTTCGGCTGCCGACTTGTTTACATCTCTAGCGTGTTTGCACGTGGGTAGTCTATTTGAGTAGGCGGGGGTGAGTAACAGCATGAAGGGAGTTTCAATTCTCATTTCTGGTGATCGTCTCGATGAGAAACCACAAAAAGAACCAACCTACCTTGAAAAATAACCGTATACTACTTTGGCTATGATTCCAAGGATTATTCAAGTTTCGTTCATTCTTTGGTAAGCCACAACATTCCGTTCTACATGTAGGGGGAGCCACCTGATTGTTTGGACGTAAATGTCACTGAAGTGGTTCCTTAAAAAAGGCAAAGGATTCCTCCAATTTCCTCCAATTTCTACTTGTTGCTCAAACTGCATGACCTGTCCAACTTCATATGAATTCATTTATTTTGATGATTTAAGAAAGGACAATAACTCACAAATATAATTTAAACGTGAGGCGACATTTATTAAAACCTTTAATTAACCTATGGTCCAGCCATAAGCTTGAATACATCGTAATGCTTCCGATAACCGTCACAATAAAGCATGAAGTATCAAATATGTGAATGAAAACACCTTGATCAAAAATGCGTAAATATGCATTTCAGTACAAAAACTAGAGTTAAGCCTATCACTTTCCTTTCTGGTAAAAGTAAAGGACGGTGTGCAGGAAACAAAATGCAGAATACCAAATCAGCACAGTGATTTCGGAAAAGTGCTTTGATCATTGAAACTTACTTTCGGACACGTCCAGCACAATTAGGAAACTCGTATTCAGTACAATTTTAACAAGAGTGCACATAAATCATGAAAGTTTGCATACCCAAGTATCGAGGCAAATCAGAAAGGCCACAGCAAGAGCATTCTGAAGCAAGCAGATTTTACGACCAAATTTGGAAAAAAACTTGTATTGAATGTTGAAGTATTACTCATGATATTGTAGTTTTTTGGGCGTGCAAAACATGGTTCTTAAATTGGGTCTAAACTTGAATAACTCAATGGCGAAGAATGACGGTTAGTTTTGTAAAGTCACTGTGCCGACGTCATCAATTACTGTGGTAACGGAAATCAGTCATTCTTGGCGGGATAAAGGCGCCGGTGAGGCGTGACATGATCTAGATCAAGTCCAGGGTTGCACTGACAGCCGTTCATGAAGGGTTACAGGGCGTCTGAACTGCAGGGAACAGTTTTGTCCAGTTGACGGCTTTTGTCCATAAACTTTTAGGCAAAACTTTAGATGAAGGAGGACTGCGCCATGTTGCTGTTGCTCCATGCTTGAAGGCACTATCTCATTCTAAAGTTCTATAATGCATGTCAGAGTCGTGTGATTCGTACGTTACCATGACGACAGTCATTGCTGGTGATTTCTTTTTAGATTCTGCCCAGATTCGACGATCTGTGTCTGCAATTATGAAGGGACCGGATCCGGCGGATTGTCTCCTCGTCTAAGTTGGCCAGCGGATTGGCAAGGGCGTTGCGGCGGCGCTCGTAATATGCTGGACAGGGACCGTTAGGAGAGCAAGCGTCCTCGCCATCACCCGATGACGAGTCATCGTCGTTGTCATCAGTGTGGTGACGAGTTGTCATCTCGGGATGGTAGGTTCGTACCATGTGTTCTAGGTGATGTAGATCGTTCTGGGTCAGTTCTGCAACCACGTTAGCCACTGCATTTCGCCGGTGACTTCCTCTGTTTCCGATTGCAGCTTCTGCGTCGAAGAAGTCTGGGACGTAGGTCTGTACCATTTCTTCCAAAGCGTGTCGCTGGTCTGCCGTGATACCGACCGTCACGTCGGCCATGGCATTGCGCCGGCCACGACGGGCCGGGGAATGTGCTGGGCTCTCCTGGCTCTTCAAACGAGCTCCCATCATCACTGTTGGAGGTGCCATCATGATTTGACGCTGAAGATTGACTGACTCAGACAGTTCAAGTTTTTTGGGATCGCTGAAGTAAACTTCAAACGTTTCAATTGCAAGATGAGTACGGTTCTGCTGGAGTGTTCGTGCTGCGTGGTTTTTATACTGAACTGTCGGCGGCCAGCCACGCGTCTCCAGCTATCAGTCATAACTGGCACCCGGCAAAGACTCGCAAACGGCATTATCCAGTCCAAAGGACACAGTCAGTTACCAGTTAATGGCTGACGTCATTGGTTGGTGACTCACCACGCATTCTCTCAATGACATGACGTATCGTCTGTTCACGCCTGGACTTGCATTGTAGCCAGTGACAACTCACTGACAAACGCCCGATCTTTGCAAAGTGCACACAGGGGATTTCTAACAGGATATTACAAGGGCTGTCTGAGACCTCTCGAAAGTTGAAAAGTTCTCTATCAAGAGGCTGAAAGGAAACAAAATTCAAGGCCAAGGTTGAAAGGCTGGATTGTGACCCGAAAAACCTATGCGTCTGTTTTTAGTTGACTGGCACCTTGTTGCCGTGACTTCAGGACAGTGCAATGTTTTTGCGAGCGTTTAAAGAACTGAAAGAAAAAACTGTTCACGAATAAGCTGGCTTACAACCACACCGCAGCGGTCGTCGGTGTAGCTAAGATAAAAGGAGCAAATTTTTGGCAAAATAACAAATTACCGGTACACAACTTTCCACAAACATTGCACATATACGTTTTTATTTATTTCTTTTATACGAGATTCTTTCTCCCGCCCGACATATCAATTAAACTGTTCAGCCATTACCAGTGGAGCGTGCAATATGATTCAAGCTTGCGCAACAAAGTGAAAGATTGGGAAAGGCAGTTGGCAAGCCTTGCATCGATGTTGCAAAGATTAACACTTTGGAACAGGCAAACTTCCACGCTTGAATTCGTATGACATCATTGTGCTAAAAAGACTTTTAGTTTTTTTTTACTCTATATTTATTGATGGATGCATATTGACAAATGGAGCCAACTAGCAATGAAAGACCAAATGAGTGCACAACTTGGATGGGATAAATATCATTCACGACAAAGGGAATAATCCTCACTTCGCACCGAATGCCTTAGGCCTATACGCCAAAAACAATTCCAAATTCATCACACTATTAAGCTGTATGTACATCCAGTGTCCTTAGAATGTTGATTACAGGCACATGTATTCAACATTCTGTTTTTTCCTCAAAGTAATCGTAAATATCTTGCGTGTTATTTTACTCTACACACACCGACTTCGAGGGCTTATGGAAAAATTGTCTTGGCGTTTGCTAATTTAAATCAAATTTAAGAGCTCTTCTTCAAAGAGGAAGCATAGAGCAATGCTCATTCCACCTGTTAAACGTTGTGAACTCACTAACGACAGCTAGAAAACCATTGCATCTACGCACTTGGGTTAACCTTACGTTAGCGTAAATAAACAATTTTATAATGGGTCAAAAGTCATTCTGAGAGTGAACCAACAAATTGATTTGTGTCATGCACAGCTGAGTACACCAGGGGCAAGTGAACTCGGCCAATGGGAAAACCCTTCTGGTGGTATGATTCCCAACCACCTATCTACGCGACCATACGACCCGCAACTCCCTGCTAGTCGACCCTTGACATCAAGCGCCATAACAATCCTATCATTACTATGTCAATGTTATCAATACGCTCGCCTGCCGCTTCTGTTGACGTCAATTTGTTATGATTCAAATCTTGATAAATAAAGGGTGAGATGGCACGGGGTTAGCCTGCAGTGGAAAGACCGGTAGCGAGTTCCCATCAAAATGCGGAGTATAACTCATTGCCACCAAGAGACCATAATTTTTCGATATTTTATCATGCAGTATCAATCATTGACTACTCCATTGGTGACGGGTCTTCCCATGCCTCTCATCGTAAAACTGTTCATGAAATAAAATTTCGGACTTTAGTATGAGAAGTATACTTTCAGACTTTTCATACCTCAGATACGTAATAACTCACGTTTGCAGTATACCTCCATGTTTATATTCGAAATAATTGATAAAAGGATATATGGGGAACCTTACCAAAAAACGAGATGTACGCACAATCATAAAGATTCCTTCTTGTGGTTTCATTTTTATCCTTTGGGAATTACTGGGTAAAATTTGCTCAGTAAGAATAGCATATATTCTATACAATGCCATTTCCAAGATTTTGTCTTTTTAAGACAAAAACAAAGTGAAAAGAAGTTTTACCAAGAAAGGACTGCAAATGTCTGCTTGAACTGTGCAAACTTATTGAGAATTTTGAGTCTGGTGCAAACACTCTCTGTAACTGACCGCGCAATCTGGAGAGTTTCTCCGTTGTCGTTCGTTTCCAGTTCACGAAAAAAAGGTTTTCGCCAACCGAGAAAAACCTCTTTCTCCTGTCTGCACAATTCTTTTGCGATGGATAGCTTCTTGTAACTCAGAAGTTGACAAGGCACTCCGAAAGCCATTTTCTCTGCAGAAGCGAGTTTACGTCAGCCGGCCTTTAAAAGCTTGAGCTATACTATGTGACGTGTACGACCTCGGCAACGCCGTACGCTTTAGTCGGCGCGTGCTTTTTTGTAGACTTGTCGGGTTTCCCGCCAATTACATGTATCCAGCTGGCCAGAAAGTAAACCGGATGAAAGGTGCGTTAATTATGAACTGCTTGAATTCCGAGTTTTCCAGCTACAGATCACTTCGAATTCTTGGAAGCAAAACAGAAGCACTTCCGATTGGTTGTCGTCTTGTGCGTGAAAGCAAAGATTTGGAATATTCTTGGTACTAAGCACAGAGCGAGGAAACGTTGTTTGATAGGATGATTACCTGCCTGGGGCGAAGGGAAGGCACTGTGTCCGTTGAGTTATTTTATTTTCCCATTCCTTAATGTCTTCTTCATTCAAAGTGGCACGTGGTTTCGAGTTTCTCAGGTTCCCAGCCCTGGACAAATTATTTCAAAGACCTAGGTTATACGAAGCCAGTCGTATTATGAGCAGTATATTGGGTTTCACACAAAACTCCCATAGATCAGAATGGCTTTCCGTTGAAACCACAAATTCAAAGACTTAAGTGTAGTGTAGGTCACAACATAGGTCTTTGCTCTTGGTCACAGCTTTGACCATAGATGCTTTGACGAAGGAAGTACGCACATACTCAACCCCAATTTCCTATGGTCTTTTCTGCTGCCTCAGAAACCTGTCAGAGCATCGGGTATAATAACCATTAAGTCTACAGTCCAATTTCAATGCTTTTAACGTCCAGCACGGAAATTGCAGATCTGAGGTCGTGCAGCATATTGAGTCTATGTTGTGGGTGCGTGCGTGCGCGCGCGCCAACGCATCTCGCCCCTGGGCTATCTTATTTGGCGAAAATTAAATACCTTGCCCGATAGGGTTGTAACAATAATGCTCGACAAGCATCGAGTATGGAGGGGGGGAATTGATGCAACCACTGACGGTTTCATCAAGGGGAGAATGACGGGTGATCGAATTGACGTTAACTCAGCCAATTTGCCTACCTGTGCAAGGATATGCACGCACGTAGCCTGTCACAGGGTAAATTAGTTTGTATAGAAACACACACAAAAAAATCGAAATTCAAAGCGGTCAAGGAATATCATCAGTGCTATTAGAAATGAAGAGTAAGATCCGTACATTCACTTCCCCAAAATGACAAACAAAACAACCCATATGTTCCTTCGTGAATCTGCAAGCCGTCCCAGACAATCAGGAACTTGTCTATTTCTCTGCAACATCGCGCACAGATTTTTACGCGGGCATACACTGTAAATCATCTTCGTTGACGCCATTTAAAGCTGAGTTTCCAAGATATATGTAAGCGATGCAAAAGGACTGAATTCGTCTGCTATGTGATATCCTTTTTCAGGTCTCCACTGGGTTGGCCGAAATTGAAAACTGTGAAATTGCTGAGGGTGAACTCAAAACAGTGTTGTGTGTGATGTGCCGTTAACAGAGGCTTTTGGTCTTTGAATTATCATAATGAATTTGATTTAACCAAGTATAATAACGAAAGCCCTTCCTGGTAGATTTACAAATATGACAGTCTCCAAATTTATCTCAAACATTTATCAATTCTTTCTCGCTGTCAATCTATCACGTAAGGTGCATTAATTTCTCATTACCGTTGGTAAATTCATTAACAGACTGATCAGTGACTGATCAGTGACTGCCTGCCTCCAATCGACTAACAAATTGATCATTTTTACCATTACTAATCCACACAACCATCGACAAACAAGCAACTATCCTATCTGCTGCTACAAATCCTGATCAAAAAAACGTGCAATAATTTCCTCTGACATTGTTTTCTTGCATTGTGACAACTTCCTCTCATTCTCGCCAGTTGCTGCCATGACAACCAATGATCACCATGTGACTTCACCAGATGTACGAAGAAGGGTGATTAATCATTCTCCTTGTGTCTATACAGCTCTCCAGGGGACTGTAAACTAAGACAATGTTCCAACAGTCTCTGACAGTTTTGCCTTGATTCATTTGTATTTGTTCATTTCGCACTGACGTCACAGTTTCCATTGTTGATGATACTATAGAGTAGAAAGGAGAGGTAATTAAATAGTCAAACAAGATAATATTTCTGAACCTCATTAGACTGTCTATTGTTCAGCTGATCCTAGATGGGGAAGAGGCAGTGACAAATATCACCAAGCAACAGTTTTGATGGGAATCATTTTCCTTATGTTATAGCAAATTCGTTTCAAACACATTACCTGAGCATTTTTCTGTGCGTCTGAATGTTAAACAGCTTGTTGAGGCATTTCTTTCAAGCTTGTACTTTGCTCTTTAAAGTGAAACACACGATCTGATAAATATGGATGTATTATCTGCTTTGTAAGACTTAGAAAATGTACATTTATTTCATGAAGCAATGTTAAGACCAATAAAAACAACGCAACATTAAAAGTGAGGTGAAAACTTACTACAAAATGTTCTTTCTGAAACATAACTGTACTTATATCCAGTTAGCCATATCAGTTGATTTGTTCCGAAAAATAATTTTAACCTAAACCACCCCCACAAAGTTTGCTGATCACAGACCAAATTTCTGCAAGTTAAAAGTGGTATTCAAATTCTAATGTCAAAATGTAGTAGCAAGAAATAAAACTGATTGCTGTGTACCAGGTGTTTATAAATACACACACACCCTTTGGCTCCCAAACAAACAAATATCTCCACACCTACAGTACAACTGAGTTCCTGGTAATTTACTTGGTTGACCAACTATGTAAACTTTATTATTCTAATAATAATAGAAGACCAACAAGTAAGTCAGGATTATTCAAAAACAAAACAAGAACTTAAACCACAGTTCCCTCTTTTTATGAAAAATGTTAAGGCACAGTTGTCAAACAGAAAAAATCTGGAACTATTTTTGTGTTTTATCCTTATGGGCAATCCTTTGGCAAAAATTGCCAAGCAGACTTCCTATTTTACAGTGAGGACTACTCCTATTTGCCAATTCTCTTGGAAATGATCCGAGTCAGCTGTTTGTTAAGCATCATCAAAACAAGACACGACATCATCCTCTGACGTAAAGACACTCAAACATAAACATCATTTGTTTGCTTTTTGCGATCTGAATTCCACAGAATTTACACAGTACAGTCCCAGTGACTTCCAACAGTCTGATCCCGACAGTATTAAGGTTGTTCACATAGGAATCATCTTTTAGCTGATTTACTTTGCATGATGTTTATGGGGTCTTGATATGGAAAATTACATTCCCTTGTTGTTTTGAATGGTGATGAATGGGGAGGGGTGCATATTTACAAATAGATACATTATACACATACATTTGTACTGCACAAACTACTGGAATATCAATAAATGTAAAATTACTCACATCACTAAATCTAGAACCCTGGTTTCAAGAAAGTATCATGTCAATAATAATGTTTTGGAAGTTGTTAAATCTTATAAATATTTGGGATTCGTAATGTCATCAGACCTCTCATGGTCGAAATGTATTGGTATGATTACTGCTAGCTTCTAAAGTACTAGACCTTGTAAGACTATCTGGGGGGGGTCATTATCTCAGTCACAACGAAGGGAAGTTTTGTTATGATGTCTACCTCTCCTTGAATACGGTGTTCCAATGTGGCAGCCCTATCAAACCAATTATATTTGTTCATTTGAAAGTATACAACATAAATTAATTAGGATTATTTTCAATGGACGCGCTGCTCCATAAAGTAATCGCCAAGTTAGTTTAGGTATTTCCTCATTTCATTCCAAAATGTGGTATCTCTCTTGTCTATTTGTTTGTAAGTGTTTGTATGGGCTATACGATTACCAGTTGTCAATTACATGTACTTATCCGTCAAAAGTCGTAGAAATTACACAGTTCATTTTACTCATCCATTTGCCAGAAGTGATGCTTTTAAACACTCAGGTTTTTCTCAGAATTTCCCACACATGGAGTTTGCTCCCCCCAAAATTAGAGATGAATCTCCTTTTTAATTCTAACAGTTTTAAAACGCTGCGTATGCCGATTTTAGACAGTTTAGTGGTTGTATACTACTTGTCATTCTGTGGATGGACCACGCAGTCGCTACAGGAGCTGGGGTTCCTTGGCTTGCTTTTCTGCATTGGCTTTGGGTTATTCATGGTTTAGACAACAGACAATAGACAAACAAGTCTTACCTTTTGCTCGTAGTCCATCGAGAATCTTGCCCAGTGCTCCGCGGTGTGATTTACCATCTGGATGAGTGATAAGCACATCAACATCTCCACAAGTTGCCTTGCCTCGCCGATAAGATCCACAAACAACTGCCAGCATACCTGGGGTAGCACTTTCTGCCATTTCCCGAACCTATAGGGTTCAATAAAAGAAGGTTGAATGAACTGAGATCACAATGTACAATTTTGTTAAAAGACACTTCTCCACATTTTGGGAGGGGTTTGCAATTAGGCATATTTCAACACGACAATCTGTGAATCATGACGAGCAAAACATTAAAACTGTTAAGGTTTTTCCAATTCAAACGCATTTGGATGTATGATTTAACGAATATTTGACAGATTGTGAAACAGAATTTTACCCTTTTTTCCTAACTTTTTTAAAAATGAATTTTAAAATTCCATTCTGAAATTCAGCCAGTTACAGAAGAACATGCCTTCCATGCAAGAGCTAGCACACATACACAACATGTTTGCTGCCCTCTATTGACATAAAATAAACTATTGCTTTTTCTCCATAGCTAAAATAAAGTACTTAAGTCCTGGCTTTGTCTGTTTCTCTCATAAAAATATCAAGAGCAGTGTATTGGTGTGCGTAAACCTTTCAACGTTTGTGAAGTAGTTTCCTCTTCTCACCGTTCTCTCAATTTCTCCTGCTTCCTGTCTAGGCATCCTTTCTAAGAAATCCTCATAGTGTTTCAAGCCAATCTTTTGCTGCCTGGTTAACTTGGCCTTCTCTCTCACGTCATCCAGTGTCCTGAATCCCTAAAATTATCATTAAGAAAAATGATATTAACAAGCATTATGGGAAGGATACTACCATTATATGATCAAGAACAGCTCAAGGCCTAAAAGTTGTGGCTGTGTCTACAAATAACACATGGGCTTATGGAAGCCAGTGGCTAGCAGCCACTTCCTATAGACACATGTAACTCCCAGCCCAAGCCAGTTGATTTGGACATGGCCTAAAGGACACAAGATGTTGCTGTAAAAATTACATAGGAGACATTACTTACTGCAGTCAGGATCATAGTCTTCCAACAGGACATGACAGTTTGATTTCAACTTCCGAGATATGTTTATGTCTTTTCACCCCTGCACTCTCAAGAACTGCCAATTCAGCACCCCCCCACCAGTACTTCCCCACATCCCTTACCAGTTGAACCCATTCTTGTGCCACCGTAGGTCCCACTCCCCAGATTTGGTTGAAGATGTCCAGAGCCTTCATGTCCTCTCCACCACAGACATGGTCGATCTTCCTCAGATGTCCACTCTCTAAAATCTCACTGATCTTGTCTGCCAAGCGAGTTCCAATGCCTGGGATTTTATTGGCTTCCTTTACAACCAAGACAAAAAACATCAAACACATTCATAAGAGTTTTGCAACTGATCCTTCTTTTGAATTCTACTTTTGGTTAAAAATTACTCGAAAGCCGGGACAGTGTCATTCTGAAATATAACAGGGGAAGTTTTGAGGGTATATAACAAACACATACCAATGAATTTTGTTTTCCCCAAAAGGACTACTGCCCAAATGTTGCAAATTCCTTGTTTCCTTGATGTAACGTTTGTAGAGACTTATTTGTGTAACAGGTTTTCTGCCCTTACCCAACATATATTTATAAACACTGTATGCTCGGTGCTTGTCCGAGAGCTTGCAAAAAAAAGTCACAAGCTTACTCGGGTGGGACTCGAACCCATGACCTCCTGCTTACTAGTGCAGACGTCTTAACCACTCGACCACCAAGCTTGCCGGGGTCGGCTGGCCAGTCCAAGTCAGGTGAAGCAGTGGGTACCGCGAACTATTTTCAAGATACAAGCCCAGCCGTCCTTTCTGACTCTGTCGCCCCTTACCTCCCAGCTAGTGACTTCCTTAGGGTATTGCTTCAGAGCAGTGATAGCTTTCCGATATCCCATGGCCCTCCAGTGATCTTTGGTGTTAGCATAGGTCTTCATCAAAACCTGCCAATAGATACCAACCAAATAGTTATCATTAAATGCCCAAACCTTTACCAATCCATTTCAGAAAACAGATTTTAGCCACACAAATTATACCAAATTCAGTTTTATTTTCTGGTTGGTAGGTCTTGAGATTTTAACACTTTGGAGTGCTCATCCTTACTGTCTGATACATCCCTACTACAATATCTGATGGTTCAGTTGTCTGAGACTGAGATGGTTCAGTTGTCTGAGACTGAGATGGTTCAGTTGTCTGAGACTGAGATGGTTCAGTTGGATAGAGAACGAAATCAGATTACCTCCAGCTTTTCAGTGATGTGGTCATTAAGGTTTTTCTGCTGAGAGGTTGATGGCTTGGAACACACCCAGTTACCTTTCTAGAAAATAAAAAAATGCAAAGCTGAGATGAATCACACTTTTCCACCTGAAGTTTTTGTGCATATTTTAAAGACCTTACCTTGCATCTGTGTCAATTAATTAAAGAGATGACAAGTGGTTGATCAACATTTTGACCTGATAGAACAATGATGTTTTTACTAAGAATTCCTTCTGCAGTATGATCTTGAATACTGAATTCTCTACTAACTGGAAGCTTTTGTGGGGAGGATGCTGGTGTTGATACATTGGATGATGGGCCAGTAGCATCAGATACTGTGGTTATCATCAGAGATTCCTGCCCGTCATCATCATCACTGGGTACATAGTTACTATCATCACTATCATATCCCCGGTCTGAACCTGCTGCTTTCACTGGACTTGTCCACTTAGTTCCTTGAACATTGGACATTGGGGCATTGGACGTAGATGGCACGTCAGAAGCTTTTGGTCCATCAGTTTTCTTCTCAAGGGTTTTATTCTTAATATCACAAGACTCAGCAGTTTCAGATTTCTGACTTGTATTGGAAACTGGTTTGGAAGAAGCATCTGGTTTTCTTGACATATCCTCTTTTTGAATCATTGGAAACCTTAGTTTATGGTTGTCAGTTGGCAAAAGTTGCTTCTCTGTCAGACAAAAACTCAGCCAGCTTGCTCTTAGTACAAGACTGTTTGATGGTGCCTTTTCAATCTTCATGATTCTTTTGAGGCGTTCCACATCCATCCCTTCATCAACAATCAGATGAGTGCATATTGCTTCGTCCCAAACATTAAGTACTTCGGCGCCAAATTTAGACATTTGTTTTTTGAAGATGTCGGTGCGTGCTTTTCCAATTCCCGCTGGAAGGATGTAGGCGACCACACTACTAAAAAACTGCTGACCATTGTCTGCATCGTTACTAGATTCCGGCTTTAACTTTACTGATGACGATCCCGACGGGTCAATCACGGTTGAGGTTTTGAATTTCTTCGCCGTTCCACCACCCGATTCTTCATTTGGTAAAAAGGGGTTTATTGTTGGTTGTTTCCTCTTAAGATTAGATGATTTCGATCCCTTGACTTTTGAAGGCGATGCCATTATTGACAAAGTTTTTTATAAGTCACTAAACTGGCAGTATTGATGCAACACGCAACCTCTATTCGTCATGTTTTTTTCATGAAGTTACAACACTATAGTGGGCTGCCATTCTAGTTTAAATGTTATAAAATAGGGCTTCCTAATTTATGAATAGATTTTTTAATTAACTTACTAGGATAACCTTAAATTAATAAACATACCTCTTTTTTATTTTTATTTTGTGTGTTTTATTTTAAAATATAAAAGAATGAATTTTACAAGTCTTATTGCAGCAACACACAGCATCCGATTCTATTCGTTCTGATTTCTTTACTCCACTCATGTATGTACCACATTGGAAGCAGACGATACGAAAATGATGGTGAGACATGCGATTTTTATCTGGATAATCCTCCTTAATCAGACAACTCAATTCATTGTTATACTTCCTACAGAATTTTGTAGTCTTCCAAAGTTATAACTTTTCTGAAATTTGCATCAGGTATTTGTCCTATATATCGGTCTTTCCGATTTATATTACAGTGCTACAACGTGGTATTCTAGAAACTTCTTTACGCATGACTATGAATGGTGCATAAATTTCTTGCTGTTTCTGTGCAAAATTTCGCCGTTTGGTTTTGCTGGGCCAAAAAAAGAGAGATACATACACTCAGTATCGGTTTGAAAATGCTGGATTAGGACGGTATAAATTCGTTTTTTCTCTTTAATTTAAAAATAAGGGGGCTTTTGGCATGTTGGGGGGTAGCCCCACTACAACTTGCACTAGTCTAGCCCCACTAGTGTGGCACGGACTCTCACTCCCGATCCATCCTTAGCCACACATCCGTATGTGAATTTCGTGTCGGCGTACTGAACATTTTCAGCGCACCCACTTATCAACGTGGGCTCAATTTCTTTTGCACACGAACATGATCTTTGACCTTTCCGTTTTCTAAAAACCGTTTATTAAATGATTTCACTCACGTTATTCATGTATTTTCCAGTCTTTTTGCCTTTATCCATTCAATCTAACGGGCTCGCTCTCACAGTCGCGATCTTTAAAATAAGATCACTGAACAATAGGTCACTTGACCCCTCATCGTCTCGACGGCTGTTCCATGTTGGAGCGATAAGATACTACATGTGCCAATGGGCTCTTCCAAAACTTTGACAGCAGTTCAGATTCTTGACATGGAACAGCCGCCGAGATGATGAGGGGTCAAGTGACATTATATTCAACGACCTTATTTTAAAGATGGCGACTGTTAGAGCGAGTCGGTGAGATTGAATGGGTGAAGGCAAAAAGACTGGAAAATACCAGAACAACGTGAGTGAAATCATTCAATAAATGGCACTAAGAAAGCGGAGAGGCTAAGGATGATCTCTGTGTGCAAAAGAAATTGCGCCCACAAAGATAAGTAGGTGCGCCAAAAATTTTCAGTATGCCGACACGAAATTTCGTGTACGGATGTGTGGCTAAGGATGGAGCGGGAGTGAGAGGCCGTGCCACACTAGCGGGGCTATGTTGAGGGATGCACGGTCATGACATGCATGACTAGACCCGTAAACAGGTACCGTTAAATGGAGCCTGTCTAGTTTGCACCCAGACTTTAACAACTACGTATCTTGTTCAGATCTGTGAGAGTATCTGTCGATCTAAGTACACGTAGAAAATTACGACTGTTTTGTGTCACAACTAATATGCAACGCCCTTGGCTGGTTCCCTGTCCAGTCACACACTGTTTGCAGCAAATCATTGGTAGCGTGGCTCGCTCTCTGTAACGTGACACGAAAGTGACAAAACAGCCGTTGCTTTTGTGCAAGTGGGGCAAACTTCGTCTGGGGTGGTAAAACGGTAAAAAAGGCAACATTTTTTCCTCCAAACGAGGAAAAGGCGAGTTTTCTACAATTAGCAACCTAGTGAATTTTTTACAGCATAAGTAGTGAACACACCGGTGCAATTTCAGCTCATAAAATTAAGTGGATGTTTAGTTATGCCCCGGATGTCCCTGATAAAGTTTTTGAAAGAAATCCCTATTAATCGGGACAGGGCCCAGTACATGACAAAAGAGTATTCGTTGGGCCCTGTTTACTGGTCTAGGTCATGACCAATGACGGTACGGGGATGCCTAGCGCTGCTGAGTGGAGCATTAGTATTCCTCTTTTTTGATTTTGGACGGGATTGTCATACTAACGCTCAACGCCTGTACAAAGAGTTAGGTTGAAACGGTTCTCAAAAATTACAAAGACTCACCAAAACTACCTCTATCACCACTTACTGGCTTCCGTAAATTCCTACGTCAAATGATTGGGACTTCAGTGATATTTCTGACCTCAAAATCTGTCAAAATCCGACCTTTTTTGCTCGACACACGCACAGCACTTAAACTTTTTGCCCCCTCCTCTCATTCAAATTCAGGCGTGTAGAGTTTTCTGGCACAATAAGTCTATGGGCAAGCATGGTCCTCTAATGAAACTGCAGGAGAGGCCCATATGTAGTCGGGGCACAAGACGTATTGACCAGGAAACAGTCGTTGGCAGCACTCCCGAATGTCACGATCAACAAGTCTTGTGTCCAAACCACGTAAAGCCTACTCATGCGTATGTCTTGGAGGACCATGCTCGTGGTGGGACTTTGAGATTCCAATGATGATGGTAAGGTTTACTCACATATGGGAAGAGAAAAATTTCCTGTTAAAATCAGAAATGCTCTTGTTCAGTTGTTGGCCAAACTCAAAGGCGCCATCTTTTTCATATAGTGATTCAAACTGTACGGTATACTAATGTACCTGGTGGAGATGACGTCACAACATGCTGGCTGAGCTGGTGGACCATTCATAATAAACATGCGTGTCTGCATGCGTGTGGCGATGACCGTTTCCTAAACAGTGTAATGTTAAGTATCTGTGACTACATCGAGCTGTACACCAGACATAGCGCTGCTAAAAAAGACTTGTCGGCAATACTGGGTGCAATCATCCTGATTTTTCAAAAATCTTAACAAATTCTTCCCTCTTTCTCCTAAATGACATGGACGTAGGGCTCAGTTTGTTGATGTCCATGTGCATTGAGTTTGCCCACAAGGCAGTCAGAGAGCTCGTAATTATTTAAGACGTTTGCAAGAATGACAAGTAACAGGCATAGTTTCAGTATTTCTGGCTTAAGCTGCCTTATTTATACAGCAATACTGAACATGATGGAGGCTGAGAGTTGGGCTGGAGCTGGGATGTGTCCAGTGGCATGGGATCGTTATCATTCTCATTAATGCTGGAATGCCAAATTTCACTTCAATTTGCTTTCACTATTTTGAAAAGAATTTGGCACCACTGAACTGTTCACATTGCAACTTGAATATTTGATCATTTGTGTCCACAGCAACCACAAATCATCCTCCTGAAGGAGGGGACGGAAGCCTCTCAAGGGCGATCCCAGGTCATCAGTAATATCAATGCTTGTCAGGTGGTAGCCGATGCAGTTCGTACCACCCTGGGCCCAAGAGGCATGGACAAGCTTATGGTAGACCCAAGAGGTAGAATCTGAAAAGATTTCATTCTTTGAAATAAGGAGTCTATCAGTTTTTATGATCATGACAATGAAGAGAAAATAGATGACCCTTTAAACCCTTTGTCTTTATTTCTTGATTCACTTGAGTGTGAGTTCAAATGCAGTTGAAAATTGTTATTTGATTGACAAGGTTCGAGTGTAGAGTAGAAGTTTCTTATTTCTGTGACATCTCTTTTCAAATCTGATTATTTCTTTCATTCTTTTGTTGCTTATTTTAATTGTACAGGTTTCTCACACGTTCATAACTTTTTGTTTTGTGACAGGTTTCAGGTTTTCTTGATATCTTTCCTTATTTTTGATATTTTCCTTATTTTCACCATCTGATGAGATTCTGCTTTAGTCATACTTTTGTAAACCCTAACTGCCTGGGCCCTTTTGGCTTGAATACACTTTTAATCCTCCAACATCTTCCAAAACCACCCAGAGGATTTGGAAGATTGAGGATGGTTAGCAGGCTAGGGTTAAATTTTGAACAGGTTAATATTTTGTTTATTCTTTTTCTTTCTATGTTTTATTGATCAGAAAACACCAAACAAACAAACCTACATTAGAAGTAAAAGCATGAATCATTCAAAATAAAGGAAATCGGGGGCCATGAAGAGATGCAGAAAAATGGTCATTGTACATGTACTAAGATTTATTGTTATTGTTGATACCTCAGATCTTGTCGAAAATATTTGTCTTGCATAAGTAGTACCGATCATTTGTTGTATTTCAGGTAATGTAACCATCTCCAATGATGGCGCTACAATAGTCAAATTACTGGATGTCATTCACCCAGCTGCAAAGACACTGGTTGAGATTGCCAAGTCACAAGATGCTGAGGTGAGACACATGTACTATCACACATCCCTGAAGTTCTCAAAGGAAATTTTGTCACTTTTTAAATGAATCTGAGTACCACAGGTCTGTTTGTGATGAAACTGATTCATCACAGCAGGGTTTCCTATGGTGGAAATGGCAGATTTGCTGAGAACTAAACGTTTTCTTCTGCTGAACAAGTCATCTGCTAAAATGTCAACTCTGTATTACAGTGTGCTATTTCTGAATTTTTTTCTGTCAAAAATATATTACCTTTAAATGTTTTCTGTTGAACCAGAAGTGTGAGTAGTTTACTTTCTAAACCTCATACCAAATTTAGACTTTCCCAGGTCATTTATGTCAGAAGCAGATTTCCATCAGGTGATTGTAGACACTCTTAAAATATAGAAACGTCTTAAGTAGTCTTTAAATCACCTATTTTTCCTTCATCTGATAGATTGGAGCTCCCCATTTCCAAATTCTAAAAGTGAAAGAAAGCATGTTATTTCTAAAACTCTTAATGACGTATTGGTGTTCTAGGAGGCGCTTATAGGGTTTTGATTTTTGTAATAACATTCACATTGAAGTCAGTCATTGCTTCTTCCTGTGTTATAGTCGCAGTAGAGAAATGCAATTGTGGGCTAGGTCGGACCTAATGATCGACTAATGTTTTGATGGACGGTCACTGCCGTCATAGCCATTGGATTCTGTTTGTAAGAGTTGATTTGCTTTGATGCCCTTGTGCTCGTGAAATAAGTCATTTTTTACAGAACAGACATTGTTCATGTAACACTGAACCCTGTCTTCACCTCCAGGTAAATATAATGCAGGAATACTTTGAGAGGTGCATTCAAATTGCTCTTTTTCCATGCATGTTTTATGAGCAAGCTCAGATCAAAGCCTGTCAACGACAAAAAATGCCCAAGTCTTTTTCAAGGAAATGATGACTACATGTCGCTCATAATTGATACATCAGTGTCAGTTATTACAAACTCCTTGTGACACCAACGGCATGGTGTTGGATAGGTGCTAATTGAAAGCAGGGCCCTGGGATTGGTAACACGCCCCCTTCTACAAGCACTGACACCCCTTCCTGTAACATTGAATGTTCAGCGTGTCTAGCTCTCAAGGCAAACGCATGAAGTGTCAATTCAAACCTAGTCATACACCATGTCTAAGTAATGAGTTCCACGGATTTAGTGACAGTTTTCCTCCAAATGCTTGAAACTTTAGTCGCATGAATGGGAACATCAAAGCAGTGTGATGTTTAGAAGTTGGATTATTCAAGCCCACCTAAACTTGCTGAATCATGCAGACTACAGAATTGGATCTTAGAAGAGGAATTTGTTCTTTTCATAACCCCTTATATATTTTTTTTTTTTATTTTTCTAAAGAATGAAAGGTGGTACATAATATTTGAACCATAATTGAATACTTTTAGCTATCATGTATAAATTACTTGTGGCTTTTATTTCACCTCATTTGCATAACAGAGAGAATGCTACATTGTTTAAATTCTGACATGTTCAGAACTATTCCTACCCTTTACCTATGTGTAGAAGAGTTAATATTACAGTTACTAATCTATCGCAAAGCCCTCGTTCTTGATTGCTGCATCTAGGCAGTTTGTGTAGCTGTTCACGAGTGTTTGGCACAGCTCCACAGGAATTTTGGCCCAATCTTCCTTGGGCATGTTGGGGAAGACCTTTAGCTCTTTCAGGTTGGAGGGCCTGTGAGCATGCACCTTGGTCTTGAGGGTTTTCCACAGGTTTTTCCGTGGGATTCAGGTCTAGGCTTTGGCTTGGCCGTAGTATTACATGTACCTCCACATTGTGAATCCTGGAACAATTTCTTGACTGCCTTTGCTGTATGATTAGGATCATTGTCCTGTTGGTACCAGTACATGTAATGGTCCAGTTGGGGCTGAGGTGGAGATTTTCTGCAGACTGCTTGACATTGTCCTGCAGAATCTGGATATACTACTGCTACTCCTTCATAATTCCTTCTACTTTTACGAGATTGCTACACCCACTTGCAGAGAAACAACCCCACAACATGATGCTCCTACCTTCAAACTTTAAGGTCGACACAGTGTTCTTTGGGTTGGATGTTTCATCCTACTTGCACTAAATGAAGGAAACAGCCCTGTGGCCAAATAGCTCAATTTTTGTCTCGTCTGACCATAGAACTCTTTGATCTTTGTCTCGGTGCCCTCTGGCAAATGCCAGTCAAGTTTTTTGATGCCTGTGAGTGAGGAGAAGGGTCTTTCTTCGACGATGCCCATGTAGCCCTTCCTTGTGCAGTGTACAAAGGATTGTCTGTATGAGACCTTGGTGCCCATCTCACCCAGGTTGTCTTGAAATGCATTGATTGTTGTTCTAGGGTTGGAATGGGCCACGCGGCACACTTTCCTAACCAGACACCTTTGGCTTCTGTCCACGCTTGCAGATGTTGTACTTCTTGACAATGCACAGTACGGTGATATATTCAAAACGACATGCAGAATCTTAGGAATGTCTGGAGCAGGTGCATTTCAGAGGATTGTGGCCAAATACCATGACGTGCAGAAGCGTATGAATATAATTCTGAGCATATCAAAATTTAAACAATGTAGCATTCTCTTTGTTATGCAAATGAAGTAACCAATGCCATAAGTCATTTAAACCTGACGGCTACAAGTATTCTACTATGTCCCAAATATTATGTGGCCACCTTTCATTCTTTCCAAAAACACAAAAAGCCTCAAATTGATAAACGGGTATGAATAATTTGGTTGTTAACTGAACTTTGTTTTGACGTGCAGTAGATTTGAAACAAAATTTTAGCCCATCACCAGTGTCATAAGACCCAGAAAATTATTGCCAAAAGCTTGCACTTGTCAGAAACAAGCTCATTCCTGTGGAAATTTGTGTGTAACAATTTTCTTTGTGGCCCTATTTTAACCCTAACACTCCTCAACCTTTCACCTGTTGGAGGACTGAGGAGTGTTGGGGTTAAAGAAGCACAAAATAAACCAATTTCATGAATGTTCTTAAACTGAAAACCAGTGAATTAACCCTAGCCCCCCAGGCCCTTTTTGCTAGGGACCTTCCTCAATCCTCCAGAATCCTCCAATTTGGGCATGAAAAAATTGGACTCTTCCTCAATCCTCCAAAATCCTTCAAAATTTCTTGAAAATGTTACTTGGAGGTGTGCCAGCTGCCTCAATCCTTCAAAATCCTCCGGCAATTCCTGTCATTATGTTGAGGCAGTGCGGTTGATTCAAAAGAAATATCGGGCTGGATTTATGCATGACTGAGTAGGAACAACACAAGGTCTACTCCACGACCTTCACTCATGGCATCCTTTGCAATCAGCCATGCACTTTTGCCATTCACTCTCAATCCTCCAAAATCCTCCAAAACCACCTGAAGGATTTTGGAGGATTGAGGAGGGTTAGGGTTAAAACTGTTGTCTGAACAAATGACCACAAGGATCTCATCTAAGCCAGCCTTGCCACTTGAGGGGGTGCTTCATGTTGTCCAGTCTCACTCATACTGGGCGGGCTTTGTATGATTGACTCATGGCATCACTATTTCCTCCGGGATTATTTCTTTTGTATTGGCACAGTGATTCTGACGCCCTCTTGATTGTTTGTGCAGGGGGATTCCCCCATGCAGGCAGCATGTGTAGAGAAGTGATAAGACTTGGGTAGATCTGTAATTCCTAAACAGCACTGCTATAGCTCCCCAGATTTTGGAAATGATTTGTTGAGTTTCAGAGTTTTGCTCAAAATATTGTAGTTTACATCGATTTGAAAGTTAAGATTTCATTGCTCCGATCCCCCTACCCCCGGAACTACTGTATAATGGATTAGGCTTACAGGCAATATTCTGATCTATTGAGCCATATCCAATAATGTTTTGGACAGCCACAACCAGGATTTGCATGCATGTAACTGCATCGGGCTTCACATGTCTGGAGCATGCCGTTCAGCTTTCAGAAGGACATGTTTTATTGGACTGAATTGTTTGGTCAATCAACCCACAAGGTCAAAGGTCAACTTCACAAAAACTTTGCACATAAAGTCAGTTAACTGTGACACTGAGAATGCCAGAATTGTGTGACGTCACTTGTACCACGGCAGTGGGTCAGGTAGAAGGTCAGGAAAGGTCAGCAATGACTAGAATGATGTCCAAGTTACAGCCTATCTTGCTGGGTCATGGTTCGTTGCTTTGTGATTCACTATATAAGACGTAATCGGTGATTACCAGACTAACGAGTATGATTCCATCAATCAGAGCTTGCCTTTTGACCACAGCAGTAGGCAAGGTTAATTAGGTTATCATTCTAATTGTTATGGTGGCGGCGTCAGGAAGGCAAGGTTAAGGAGGAAAAATAGAAGATGTCATCTACATTTCCCCCCAAGTTGTTCACGATCTTTTCTCGTAGAATAAGAGAGAAAAAACTATGCATGCTAATTTGCTAAACCT